GTGAAATTTGAATTTTCATTAAGAAATCGCGATTTTCAAGGAAAATTTCAATTTTTTTAAAAAAATAACCTGATGTCGTAACAAAAAATAGCTATCATATTTGCATTCTACAGTAAGAAATAGTTGCAAAACACCCAAGAAATTTAAGTCAATAAGACAAAAATGATTTTTTTTGCAAAGCTTTTTTAATGTCCCTCTATATGAACCATTATTTTGGGTATAAGCGACTATAAACCCTCGAGTAGGCAAAGCTTAAAATGTTCCCATCAATCTAATTTTTTTCACTGGCAATGAGTCATTTTTAAGCGGAATGGAACGAGTTAGGGGGTGGGAACGAAAACAGCCCTAAAAAAAATGTCTACAGGTAAAAAGATGATCCACCCAAACGCGGCATGCACTGGGAAAACAGCGGGCCACGGGCAGCGTGAAGCGGGGTGAGAGACGAGGGGGAGGGACGACCGGTGCGGTGCAGAGCATCAACGGCCGCACGGCATAGAGTAACTCTGAACGCTACGGAGCTGGGCGAGGTTCTAGATCTGTAACGCATAACGAAAAGCGGCGTTATGAGTTATGGTATTAGTATAGCTGAACTGATAGCAATGGTCAGGTCTTTGGTGTGAGTTATTTGAACTCGAACGCAGTCGGCCGCTTATTCGTTCAAGTTCCGAATTTCGAACCGATTCGATTGACAATGCGTTCGGGATCGAAAACCCGACCGAGACCTTTCCGCGAACGGTTCACGATCAAAAACCCAAACTCATTAGGAGCCTTTTCCGTTCGGGTTCCGTAACGCGAACGCGAACGCAAAGCCGGCACATTGCGGTGTTGAACGATGAACTGATTAAATAAGAAATTTTTAACATATAGTTCTCTGGTTTAGGGTAACTGTCTTTTTCTGGAGAATCGACGTCAATTTTGCGACCATAGAGGAATCTTGAGACATTTTTGGAGGGGGCGAAGCCCCCTTCTCAGGAGATTACTTTCTGCCGTTCAGGGGGGTCAATTAGAACTCTTGGGGGTCACGTAAGATGTAAATTGTTCTGCTCCTCAATTTGGATGCACTCAATTTGCAATTCGGAAAAGAGCCCCGATTTTTAAAATTGGGCTCCCCCGTTTATTTCCCAAGGGGGGCTAGAGGAGCTTCGGGCCCATGAAATTTGGATTTCTCGGGGTCGATTACCTGGGAAACCGTCCTTTTCTGGAGAATCTACGTCAATTTTGAGACCAAAGAGAAATGTTTGAGGGGGGTACTGTCCCCCTCTTTAGGCGGTCATTCTTGGGCCTTGGATGGGCCGATTCTGGATTTTTAGTAGTCAATTTCACGTGAAATTATTCGTGATTTTCAAATCTGATGCGATTTATCCGCAATTTGGTCGGGAACCGTGACTTTCAGCATCGTAACCTCCCTTTACCCCCTACGGGGGGTGGGGGTGGGGGGGTTTTGGGATCAAGAAATTCGGATTCCTTGGTGTCGTTTCTTTATTCCACCCCGCGGTCTCCGACTTCGTACGACCTAAAACAACCGAGAAAAAGGCCTGGCACGGGTGGTCTGAAACACCCTGTATTATTGTGCAAATCATGTCGGGTAATTTCCCATATTTGTATCCTATTGTACTTACACCGGTAAAAAATACTCTACGTAACTTTGAATTTATGCTTGATATGATTAGTAAGGTATTAGTGTGCTGATTATAGGAGGTTTACGCGAGACACCAGATCTTCGTGATAAAAGAGCCGTTTCTGAGCGATATTTTCCGATTTAAATTCCGAGAGTTTGTACAATGCTTCGACACGTACGTCAACAATATGTCTGGAGGATGTTCTGCAGGAAAAACGATGCAGAAAAAACTACAGTATCTGAAGGAGGGCTACGAGACGAAGTTCACTGATCTGAAGGAGAGGATTCTGGAAGACATGAAGTCTTGCGTCCAGAGAGACGGCATAGGTGTGGTTCACATATCCTTTAATGTTCCAAAAGTTAACCGGTTCCAAGCTAAACCTAAGGAAAATTTCAAAAATTGACCAAATCTTACTTGACCTAGACTCAAGGTTGTCACTTTAGATTTCCTTATAAAGAATATTTGTTTTCTCCCCAATAGAAAATGGTCTACAGAGTTGGATGTAATCGATATATCGTTCCTCGTTTGACGCATGTCTATGGACTAGTCACGCAAGTAGGTAGCATTTTTTAGCAAAAAATCGCGATTTATATTGAGTTAAAGTTGCGATTATATTGCTCTTTCATCAGCAGTGAAGTTGCAAGGATCACAACATATGAACGGTTACCCACGTTCATAGCGCGATAAAATAGCATTTTTACCGCAATATGCTTGAAAATTATCGAGATATAATGGCAATCTTTCTGTGATGGTTAAGGAAGAAATGGATAAAATATTTTTTTTTAAAAATGTTGGTCGTTAGTTTGGAAATTTCTTTAATATAACGTTATTAAAATTTAAATCCTCATCTACTTTAATTTTCATGTTTGTAACTCCTCCACGTCCTTATTTTTCTCTAACACAAGATGCATACAATTTTCATCTTCACTCACATTAGGATTCCGGTAGGCGGAAAAGAACCCGGCTACATCAGCTTCTGCCAAATTTAACGGAGCAATTTCTTGTTTTACATTAATGCAGTTGTTCCGATTTTTGTGCAATTTCAGAAAATATCTGCATAGTACGGAGCAAATACCTCAAAATTTTAAGAGGAATTTGCACAAATGTTCTTTATAAAATTAAACTGTCCCGTGAAATTTAGTAACAGCTGATGTGGTCTAGTTCCCTTCTGCTAAACGCCGTCCAAACTTTTTTACCTCAGTTGGATTTATATTTTCAAAACTCAAAAATTAATTTTAATGCCACATAAACATAGTCTTGATTTCAAAGTCAAAAACAAAGATCTCTTCGAAATCATTCTATCCGTCTCATTCAATACCCTTTAATTTTCTGTCGTAAAAATTGAATTCTACCCGCTGCATTCGCCGTTTGTTGCCCTGTTGTCATGAACTAATGAAACATGATTTCAGGTACCCCTATGTATCGAAAAACAGTCGTACAGATGGGAGACATGTACAGAAAAGAAATGGATGGACTGATTGCTGAATTTCGCGTCAAATGCTCTGACGTCACAGCCGAGTTTAAGAAAAACAAATATGGGGAACGTGAAAATCCCATCCGGGAGAAAACTCCCACTTCTGAGAAACTTGATGTGGAGCTTAAAAGACTGTTGGATTACTACTGGAAAAATGTTGTTACACCGTTACTCCGCAAGTTCCATTTCTATTTAGAGGAAACTCTCTGTTTGACCTTTCGGGCGCCCTCTGTCGAGGGGCAACATGTTGAGGAGGTGTTGCACTCACTACAGATTGCCAAGCGGCGCTTTGGGGACGCCCTTTGGCACGCTCGACGGGACTCTAAGCGCCATATGTTGGAGGCGTTTCAACATACTAGCCCAGGTAAACTTATGAAGAACTAACATACGCACCCTCGCTGCCAGGTGGGCCTACGTCTGACGGCTCCGTTAGTCCATTTAAATAGAAACCATTTTAATAAAAACCCCAAAAAACTTTCAGATTTAAAGGGGTAAAGAATCCGGCCAAAGTCTTAAACTCAGTGAGCCAAATTGTCTTGTTAGGTACTTCTAAAAGGAAATGAAAAATCATACTCCACTGTAAATCGAATGTAGGCCCCCTTATTTAAGAATGATGCAACAGTCATGACGTGTAAGTATGTTTAGCCCTTGCAGGAGCGGTCTCATTCCTCAATCCTTACATATTTGCGTTTATATCAAAAGTAAAAAAAAAATAGTCGGCATGGATTGATCTGAGCCTTTCTATGTGCTCCAAAACAATATGAAATATTTTATCGCACAAAGTCCAATATTTTTCGATTCAGGTCCTGCAAATGCTTTTAAAATAGCATGAAAAAAATACTCAATCGGCTGGCTAGAGTCCAGTAAGTATTTTTCTTAAGAATAGTCTCCTCCTTCAATGAACGATGCAACAATTGCGACATTTAGACGTATCCCTGCCAAAAGGAACCATGTGCTTTAGGACAAGAGCCGCCCTGATATGCATATGTTCTTATGGGTCTCAGGGCTCGTGTCTTAATGCACATACAGGGTGTTTCAGACCACCCGTACCAGCCCTTTTTCTCGGTTGGTATAGGTCGTACGAAGTCGGAGACCGCGGGGTTGAAAAGGGAATTGACCCCAGGGAATCCGAATTTTGTGGTCCCGAAACCCCCCCATCCCCCTTGGGGGGTAAAGGGGGGGTCACGATGCTGAAAGTCACGGTTCCCGACCGAATTGCGGATAAATCGCATCAGAATTGAGAAGCACGGAAAATTTCACGTAGAATTGACCCCTAAAAATCCAAAATCGGACCATCCAAGGCCCAAAAATGACCCCCTAAAGAGGGGGACAGTACCCCCCTCCATAATTTCTCTTTGGTCTCAAAAATGGACGTAAATTCTCCAGAAAAAGACGGTTTCCCAGGGAATCGACCTCGAGAAATCCAAATTTCATGGTCCCGAAGCTCCTCTAGCCCCCCTTGGGGGGTAAACGGGGGGGCCCAATTTTAAAAATCGGGGCTCCTTTCCGAATCGCAAATTGATTGCATCCAAATTGAGGAGCAAAACACATCCACATCTTAAGTGACTCCTAAGAGTTCTAATTGACCCCCTTGAACGGTAGAAAGTAACCCCCTGAGGAAGGGGGCCTCGCTCCGCCAAAAATTTCTCAGAATTCCTCTTGGTCGCAAAATTGACGTCGATTCTCCAGAAAAAGACGGTTTCCCATGTAATCGACCCCGAGGAGCTCAGGGAACATGAAATTTAAAGTCCTCGGGGTCGATTACATGGGAAACCGTCTTTTTCTGGAGAATCAACGTCAATTTTGCGACCAAAGAGGAATTCTGAGAAATTTTTGGCGGGGCGAGGCCCCCTTCCTCAGGGGGTTACTTTCTACCGTTCAAGGGGGTCAATAAATTAGAACTCTTAGGAGTCACTTAAGATGTGGATGTGTTCTGCTCCTCAATTTGGATGCAATCAATTTGCGATTCGGAAAGGAGCCCCGATTTTTAAAATTGGGCCCCCCCGTTTACTCCCCAAGGGGGGCTAGAGGAGCTTCGGGACCATGAAATTTGGATTTCTCGAGGTCGATTACCCGGGAAACCGTCTTTTTCTGGAGAATTTACGTCAATTTTGAGACCAAAGAGAAATTATGGAGGGGGGTACTGTCCCCCTCTTTAGGGGGTCATTTTTGGGCCTTGGATGGTCCGATTTTGGATTTTTAGGGGTCAATTCTACGTGAAATTTTCCGTGCTTCTCAATTCTGATGCGATTTATCCGCAATTCGGTCGGGAACCGTGACTTTCAGCATCGTGACCCTCCCTTTACCCCCCAAGGGACGATGGGGGGGGGTTTCGGGACCACAAAATTCGGATTCCCTGGGGTCAATTCCCTTTCAACCCCGCGGTCTCCGACTTCGTACGACCTATAGCAACCGAGAAAAAGGCCTGGTACGGGTGGTCTGAAACACCCTGTATGGAGTTACTTTTGGCAGTAATACGTCCAAATGTCACAATTGTTGCATCACTCATTGAAGGAGGAGACTTTTCTCAAGAAAAATACTTACTGGACTCTAACCAGCCGATTGAGTATTTTTTTCATGCTATTTAAAAGCATTTGTAGGACCTGAATCGAAAAATATTGGACTTTGTGCGATAAAATATTTCATATTGTTTTTGAGCACATAGAAGGCTCAGATCAATCCATACCGACTATCTTTTTTTTTTACTTTTGATATAAACGCAAATATGTAAGGATTGAGGAATGAGACCGCTCCTGCGAGGGCTAAACACACTTACACGGCATGACTGTTGTATCACTCATAAATGAAGGGGCCTACATTCGATTTACAGCGGAGTATGATTTTTCATTTCCTTTTAGAAGTACCTAACAAGACAATTTGGCTCGCTGAGTTTAAGACTTTAGCCGGATTCTTTACCCCTTTAAATCTGAAAGTTTTTTGTGGTTTTTGCGGTTTATATCAGGTGGTTTTTGGAGTGATGTGAAGGTAATGAACATTTGGCTGGAGACAGAGAAACTGAGAATAATATTTTCAATGAGCAGAACTGGGACTCCTTGTTTGATCAACTAAACATTAATAGGGGGTGATTGATTTTGCAATCAATAAAAAAAACCTAATGTTTTGGTGAGTTTAAGGTGATTCGATGGACGCCATATTTTGTGTCAGAACGGCATGCGATATATCGCATCAATTTGTTCCATATTTTCAGCTACTCGTCATTTTTCTCCTATTTTGAGATCGCACTTCTGTTATCAGGAGTCTAAAGCACTCACTTACCAATTTTAACAAAGAAATTCAACTTAATAAAGGCGTGGTTTTTTCAGAGAGAAAACATCGAATTCGATACTGATATCGAAACTGCACTCGAATGCGATATTTTCTCTCTGAAAAAACCACGCCTTTATTACGTTGAATTTCTTTGTTAAAATTGGACTGCATTTTGCAATTTGGAACTATAAATCCTGGCTCATTTGAAAAAAACGCTTATGTGCATAGGGAAACGAATGGCACGGACGTTGTTTTCAAATCGGGCTAGACTTTATAATTCCAAATTGCAAAATGTAGTCCAATTGGTAAGTGAGAGCTTTAGTCTCCTGACAACAGAAGTGCGATCTCAAAATAGGAGAAAAATGACGAGTAGCTGAAAATATGGAACAAATTGATGCGATATATCGCATGCCGTTCTGACACAAAATATGGCGTCCATCGAATTACCTTAAACTTCTCTCATCAAAATAGGGTAAATAATGTTTTAAAAACTGATAGATTAGCAATTGGATTGCATTTTTCAAAAAGAAACCAGAAGCATTGGCATGTTGCTAAGATTGTGCGACTTCACCCTTTGCAATAAAATTACTGTAATCATGCAAAAATATGAAATTTACATGGTAATTTTGGTCTTAAATTTAAGTACAGTTTTTAGCGCGTGAAAAAGAAAATGTTTATAGATGACCAGATTTTTCTTCCAAGACAAGAGAAGTTGCACTATCTTATAGCAACAATGCAATACTCTTGGTTCCTTTTTGCAAAATGCAGTCCAATTGATTGTCATAGTGTAGGCTACTTAGAATGAACTTCTTTTGCCGCACAAATTATCCCTTACTTACGCATAAAGTTTCAACATTCATTCTGCAAGTTTTACTGCGTTTAACTCAACTGTTGGACATACTTGTACATTCAGCCACTAAAACTTTAAATTAAATAACAGTGAGACCACTAACTTTTAACAGAGTATAACGTCTAAGAATGCGACTTGAAATATGAAGATAAGAAAATTTTACATATATTATGCACTCTGTTAAACTTGAGCGATTCAGGTAATAATCAACTGAATTTCAACCTCAAGTTATAATGACCTTAGACAGAAAATTAATTGAAAAAGAGAAAAACTTGTTGAAGATACTACACTATAAGTCTACCCACCAGTAGTGGTTACCGCCACTCTTGATACAGTATACGTATATTGACGCTAGCGGAGAATATTTTGATTTATTTTGCTTCGAGTCACTTCACCACAAAATTTGTCAAATCATATAACTGGCAGGAAGTGAGCATTTAAATTTTAATGGAGTCATTTGATTTATAAAAGATAATGAAAGCTACTTTTTAGTTACCTGATAGTTCAAGAATTCCTAGTAATTTGGTTATCCACCGTCGAACTAAAAACATAATCCCCCAAACTCTTCATCAGAGCATGTTCCGCAGTTGGTACGGAAGCACAAACTTTTTGATCATAAACGCTACCAATTGGTCTAATCTTTTTTGGCCTTGATTCACCCGATTACATTTATTCCATTAAGAACTAGGTAGGCACGCGAAAAATACATTAACCCAACGCTCAATGAATTTCAGAGTGCACTGTTGGAATTCCTCAGTGACACAACAACCAACAACACCACAATATTCTCACATATTATCTAACAGTCTGTAGCTACACCACCAGTGGAAGTCCGTAACATAACCTCACTATTTGATGTGTTTACATCAAGTTTTCATATGTAAAAATAGAGAAGGGATGGGCGCTACGTACTTTACTTGGCTCAGCGATTTATGCAGCAAAATAAAACCTTCATTTTTTAGTAATCATCAAGCTGAGAAAATAGGACTAGTACATACCTGCCAAGAAAGACTTTGTCAGACATTGACTGGCCAAAGGGTGTTTCTAACAACTTCTGACGCAAAATCAGAGAGACTCGGAGGAATCCAAATTTGAGCTAATACTCATCGTCAAAGATCTCTGATTTAGGAACATAAAGTCGACTTAGTGATTGAACACACAGACTAGTGATTGAATTATACTTCGCATCCCCATATCCCCATGATGTCTTTGATGTAAACTAGCAACGGTAACAGGCGAAAGCCTTCCAAGATTAGTCATGAAGAAAACAAGGTCTTAATGTCAATAACATACACTTAGGAAAAACACAATCACTCCAGAACACGTAGGTTGAAATCAAAATGTAAAGCGAATAAACTTTGGTCAGAGCATATAGTGACAGTGTCGCATGTCGTGTGATGGGCGGAGGCTCATATTACAGTAATTTTTACATCTTTTCTTGTGACTGATAGGGTCCACTGAAAACAACTACATCTCTTCAAGATATGGAAACTAGCATTCGTGACTTGAGGAAAACAATAATGTAATTAAAAACTAAGAGTAATGGGCTCTCCCTTCGATCCATCGGTGTGCATGGTAGGGAAATATTTGGATGCTGTTAGTCACGAGAATGCAAACTGTGGTGTAAATCCTGCTCTCTTTTGATAGTTTGGCACAACTTTGGTGTCCTTTCATCGACGTAATTTACCTGAATTACATTGATTGATGCTTGGGTCAGACAGATACACGGACTGATAACCTCACTTAAGAATAAAGACATCACTTGAACATTTTAAGAGAAACTAATGAAATAGTGTATCGGGCTCTGACAGAAGACGTGCGACGTAATAATATAAGTGTGAATAAATATTAGTTAGCTCCTACAGAGAATTGAACTCTTACATTATATTGAATCTGTTCTCAACTAGTTAGAGTTAGAAGTTGGTAACGAGGGGAATTTTGTTCCCAAAACATGGGCTGGACTGGCTGAACTGAACGGAATCGACCAATGGCATTGAACCACTCCCAGTTTTTTTTCTAAATTCAAAACATTATATCTAAAATTTTGAAAGTTATTAGCCGACGCTGAATTATCCGAGCATTGAAACCCTATTAAATGTGGTAGAAATGAAATCCTTATATCTTCAAGCAGTGCCTGTTATAGGTTCCATTCGAATCTGTGGCCGTATAAGCAAGAAATCTCTTGTGAAATGTGACCATGTCGGTTTCCCGCTACTAGACGGCCCATGTTAAAAAATATTTGTCATTTTGGGCTTTTAAGTGCTTATAACTTTTTGAAAACTCAATGGATCTTGATGAAACTTTCCCACTTTGTAGGCCCAATTTAGGCGCGTCAGTAGATACCAAGATCGTTGGAATCCGTGCTGTCGTTTGGGCTGCATTCGAGTTCGAACCGAATCAATTTTCAGAATAAGGGAGTTACGTGTGTCTATGGTTGGCTGCCACCTTTTTCGTTTGGACGCTTTCCAGTGTTGTCGAGTTTAAACTTTGTCCGGGGGTGGCTACCGCCACCCATGATTCAAAAAAGCAAAACACTCTAGGACAGCAACGTCACATGGGTAAACTGTAAAGATGGAAGGACAATATTCAAAACAAATTCTACAGGATAATCGAAAAACTTGAAGGAGTGAACTGCCAGCAATTCCACTACTACTAAAATGAAGCCATGAGAAACACTTAAAATTGAAGAAAATAGACTGCTTCGCTAATAATTCACGATAATAAACAAAACAAACCCGTTCATCGAAAATTTCATCAAGGCGTTCTTAGGATCAATCGAAGATACGTCATCTGAGTTTCCATCAGACTTCATCAGTTACGTCAGTATGACGCCATGTTCTACTGTGAGACCGATTGACGATGCATCAAAAAGATGAATTCTGGAGACAGGGTTGTCTAATTTCATGACTTGCCGGCAAAACATCCGCAGCAGAGGTTGGGGTTTTCGGCTGTCGTACCATACGTTGGACTCATCCACGGCCGTCTTCAGCACCAGCTTTGTGAAGATCCGTAGAAACATCAACTCCCTCACTAGTTGATGGAACCAAGGCTTCTTTTTCTTGCTTTGGTGCCCTGGTTTTTACACTGCTCTCGGGCTGCAAACTCAGGTGGCAGGGGTCAGCGGCTGGGAACCTTAGCTTGGGATAACCCCAAGCTTTCTCCCTAGCACGGCATGGTGATGGAATTGACTAGCCAAGCTGTTCCCCGCCGCTGGTTAGGACACCTCTCCCCTTGGGGTTGCCAGCCCCAATGGGTCTCCCGTGCAACACTAAGTGTTACCCCTGAGTTATTTTTATTAGTAATCTTTTTCTTTTTCTTTTTTTTCGTCCGCTTCTTACCTTCTCCCATATTTCTTTCTTGTTGGTCAAATGTCATTTACATAATTTGTGTAGGCTAAGTGTTGGGTTCCAAGGAGCAAACTGTATGAAGTACATAATGCAGCAAGAAAGTACTACTTTTGGCTTATATTAAAGAGGACATGTGTACCAATAAATTCCGCCCTAGACACTTTCCTTGTTACCTCCCAGGAAAGCCTTAAACTTACGTATTTATTCTTGATTTTAGAATCGAAGAAGGTTACGCCAATTTTATTGTTTGAATCAAGATCGCTTTAGAAGAGAATCCCTAAAAGCACCTATACGTTCGTATGATCTTCCTGACACATGATCTCTTCTCAACCTGTAATATTCTCTATTCTATTTTGCTGTCTTAGGTTCTCCTGAATTTTCCCAAGCAGCATCGGACATCTTGGAGGAGTGGCAGGAGAACATGACGCCGCACATGAGAAGATTCACAGAGGAACTGAGCGATGTCGACTCTGAAATTGAAAGACTTTACGTCCAGAAAAGACTTCATAGGGAGAAAATGCCGAAAGATGACTGGGTTGACGTAGGCAACATTCGCATTGGGAAGATATTCGACAACGTCATTTCCCCGCTAACAGTCGATTACGGGTCTTGCCTCGAGGACCTGAGCGAACTTGATTGCGCAGACGACACGGCAGAGGGCAAGTTCAAGGTAGAGGCTTTTTTGAAACTAAAGAACATCCGGAAAAAACTGGAGGAGACCGTCTTCCGACTGAAATCGAGCCTCAAGTTGGATACGGTGAAAGAAAAACTTAGCACGGAAGACCTCGGCAATCTGATCGAAAGGTAAAATTTTCTCAATAAGGCTAGGTCGGATAAGATTAGATTATAAAGGTTAATTGAGTTGTTTTTTTGCTGAGCATTTTTATGCATCAGGGAGGTGTGTCAAAATTAATATCATCAAAAAAAGTAGTATGAAAACGGGACTTTAGTCCAGTAAATTATCCAACAGCGTTGTACGATGGTGCAGAAAAATACAAATTAAATTACAGTGTTGTATGGTGATTATTATTCAATATGGCAACGCTGTAAAAAAGAAGGGGGTACATTACACGAATGCATAACCCGCATATTGAAGGGGCAGCATGCAATACTTTCTTTTTTACAGCGTTGCCATATTGAATAATAATCACCATACAACACTGTAATTTAATTTGTATTTTTCTGCACCATCGTACAACGCTGTTGGATAATTTACTGGTCTAAAGTCCCTGTTTTCATACTACTAAAAAGAATTGAAGACGGAGAATTATCTTACCCTGTTCAAAGATGCCAAGTAAAACTGGAACAGTTGAGAAAAGTTAAAATATGAAAGAAATAAAACATTTGGTTGATCAAATTAATGGATTTACTTGGAAATAACCTGACCGCCTTTCACGTTACTTGATTCTTTCTGATAATGATGTACCAGAGAATTTTTATACTCACCTAACGTTTTCAAGCATTTTGTGAATTTACCGTAGGTCATGAGTAATAATTCTTCAAACAATTTCAAATTTCAGTATGACTTGTTTGGTGGTTCAAAAAATTGATAAAACACCAGAGAAAATTAGATTGACACCACTTACGTCTGATGTAATTAAATCGATTCCGGTAAAACATGTCCGAATTTAAGAAAATTGCACAATCCTCAACGTTGTGAATATCTGTACGTTTACTTTAGACTCCATAAAATTTCCTTCTTTAAGGTACTGTCAAAAATTGAGGCCCTTTGCGAAAGAGTTCAAGAGTCAAATGAGACAAATTAACAAGAAGATGGAAGACATCAATAAAAACCATGGACTTCATGGACGGCGGGAGTGGTCGACGGGTTCATCGTCTCCTTGGCACTTCAAAATGAAGGACGAGCTAGCTGAAGTCTTGACCAGCATTCCAAAAATTCTCGATATCAAAAATGTCAATATCACAGAACCGTACTTGGACGACATGTTTCGCCAGTGTTACAGAAGATGGGTCGTAGATTTTAATAATATAGTTAGCCAACTTCTTCAATTGAAAGTTGAATCTGCTGATGATATAAAGCGGGAAGACGCTCTGGCGGGTCTCAAGGATTGTATCCGAGAATTTGGAGAGCAATTAAAATATGCCAAAGAGGAAACTTTTCATTCACTCACTCCAATTGACGAAAATTCTGAGGAGTATGAAAAGTGTGTCCGCGAGTTAATTGAAAAGACGCAAAGAAAACTCAATGATCTTCACAATGGGTTGAATTCTAAGCTATATACTATCAGAAAACCTCTTTTCAACAGCAGTAAACCCATCAAATCCATTCTCTTTGAAACGCAGCCCCATGATGATTTAACCAATTTGCTTCGCGAGTATTGGAGAATAAATGTTATACCATTAGTTCAAAAGTATCATGGACTTTTGGAAGATATTATTTGTCTGCCAGAAGAGACGGACAGATCACAGACGAATAATATTACGCATACATTAAAATTAGGAAAACGCAAACTCGGTGACTTATTGTGGAATGCGCGGCTAGTTGCGTTAAATGATATGTCTATTGCGTGCCGGAAAAGTGAGACCGAATCAGAGGAAAATTCATCGCATAGTACTGAACTTGATAAATATTCATCTCACGGTATCAATCTTCAAGAATATGTATCCACAGAGAAGGAAATTTTTGAGGATTTCCGGGGAAATGTTGAGCCCAGCCTCAAAACGTTTGGTGATGAGCTTGAGAGAAATAATGGAGCCTTACAAGATATCTACAAGCGCATGAATTTTGATCAACCTTCAAGACTTCAACTTGGATTAGAACCAAAATCGTACGTTTTGTCGACCCTAAATGACTCGAGACTCATGAAAATCTTTGACACGCCGATTTCTATCCTAATTTTGGAGTATGATGATAATTTGGAGGAATTGTGCAAACTTCAGGCGAATGATAACTCTCACAAAAACTCGAGTAAAAACATTTTGGATAGGCTTAAGAGAACTCGCGATTTTTTTCGGAACGCCATCAACACTGCCATGAAAAAGTTTAAAGATAAACTAGATAAAATAAAGATTAAATCTAATGGGATTCGTGATCTTATCGTGGAAATGAAAGGCGATCTTTTGAGTCACACGAACGAATTTAAGACGCATCTGAATGAAATTAATAATCATTTGGCGTCATTTTACCATGGAAAAGTTCCAATTCTTCCGAAAATCAATGTTTGTTGGTCACCTTGGCAACTTCCATCAGCCCAAATAAATAATATGCCTCCCAATGACCGCAACAATGTAACTCCAGAAAATAAACAGCCTTTGAGCCAAAATATACCCTCTTCAGGAACTTCAAGGGGGAAGTATATGTTCAAGGGAAGCATGATTCAAGAACCTGAAATTTATGACTGCTTCCAAGTGAGGTACTGGAAAAGTATTGATGACTTTGATACTATTCTATGCCGAATGGAAAGTGTAGAATGTCAGCGTGAATCATCGCTGTACATGATAAAAAAAGACACAATGATGCGGCTTGTTTCACTGCGAAATGACTATCAGAAAGATGATGTTGGTTTGCGGAAACTGGCAGATGCTGATGTTGGAGCGCTCGGTGAAAAGTATGCGGTAGGATCAGACAGATACCGAAAATTGCTGCCAAAAATTCGTGAAAAGTACGAAAAGAGGCTGACCGAAGTACAAAAAATGCTTTATTCAAAGCTAGCTCGCTTTAAGGATACAGTGAAAGAAAAATTCCCGGAAGTATCATCAAATAGAGTTCATCAAGAGCATCATTTATCAAAATTGAATGAATATCTTACGTATTTGCTGAGTTATTACTGGCGAGAGGATATATTACCAAGGGTATGCAAGTACTTGAATTATTTAGAAGAGATCAATCATCTAAATTTTAATAGCCCGAAGGGAGAAACTGAGATAATATACAGACTCCTTCGAGCCCTTCAAATGGCAAAGCGTCTATTAGGGGATGAAATTATGTCCCAACGCCGTTCCGTTTTAAGAACACTGGTAAACAATCAGAATAAACTTGGTAGAAATTCCCTCGAATACGTCAAAATTCTGGAAAGAATGAAAAACACTTGGCGAAGGAATATGGCACCAAGGATGAAGTGTTTTGATAACACGCTATCTACAGTCAAAAAGGAGCTCAAACAATTTTGTCGAGAAGATCTCAAATCATCCTTTGACAAAAGGTTAGAAGTCGATTATAATCGTTTGAGTAAATTTTTTGATGATAATGTAATAACCCTTTTGATCGACTGTGATTACATTTTGGAAACTCTTCCTGACTTTGCCTTTGATACACAAATTTCTCAGAGTCGAATTAGGTCAGAATTCCTGCTACCACTACGGCAGATGATGGAGAACTTTTGGAGGGAGTGTGATAAATTAAACAATAAACTCAACACTGATCACGCACACAATTTCACCACTCGAATAATGTTTGAGAAAGTTTATGATGACTATTCATCGAAAGTAGCAGCGTTGACTGCTGCCTCAAGATTAACTTTAAATGAAATAAAGAATTCACTACGTAAGTTAAGAGGAAAAGAACACCCGACGTTTGAGGAAACTACGTCAAAAGTGTGGCTCCCTCCTTCAAAATATATACCATTGTTACCTTCTCGTGATACCCAAAATGTGTCTCACGGATATTTTAAAGGAGGGCCAACAATGGATCAATCAAAAAACTCTAAAAACCAGTACCTCGTCACAGGTAACACTTCAAAAATAAAGAAATTGTCTGGAAATGAATTCAATCCTAAACATAAGGCACAGGCGGTTTTGAAACCCAAAGAGCGTGTGGCAAAGAAAATATTCAATGACATTCCTATTTTTGTCGAGCCTAGATTAGATGACGTGTTCCGACATTGTTACAGGGAGAACGTTAAATACTTAGAATCTTTCCTTAGTGGTCTCAAGGATATCCAATGCAAAAAAAATACGCCACAGTACGAGGCGATTCAACTCGCGATGAATAATTTGAGCAAGGTGTTCATCTATTTCACGAAAACATTAGCAAATATGAAGGAAACAGCTGCCATCGATTTGTCTAAAATCCTGAATAACTGCAAACCCAATTCTCGAGACTACTGGCAACAGGTGTCACGGCTTCTAGATGAATATAAAAAACATCTTAAAAATGTAGAAGATGATTTTAAATCCCAAATGAAATCTCTTGAAAGTGATACATGGGGTGTACATCACAAAAGTGATTCAAAAGGATCAGAATCAGATCGACATAACGGTTTGGGTAACATCGAATTCAACGAACTTTTGAGTTCTATTTTAACCGTGGAATTAGCACCATTACTCCAATCCCTTCAATGCTGGCAAGAGGAAATGCTAATATTCATGACACTTGAAAAATCAAACATGAATAATACCCTTTACCCATTATTTATAGAACTACTTCGAGAAAAACGTCGTCTCAGTGATTACCTATGGCAAGAAATGCATGACTTTTTCAAAGAACCAGGACGCTATAGGGCCAATAATCATGAAAACTATGATGAGCACAGTCATATCTATGCTGACTTATTAAATGCATTGAGGAGAAAAATGTCCAAATTCATTTTTAAATTCAAGGATAAAATGGCTCGTATTGAAAAAGATTTCTCAAAAATCCTGACGCGTGGTGATATTGAACGAAGTAGGTTCTTAAAGCTCAGGGAAATGAACATTCAAGATGACCGATTCGAAGAGATTTTTGAAAACGCTATTTTTGTGTCTTTGGTCGAATGTGATGGTACATTGGAAAGCCTCGGCGCAATAGTTTTCAACGATGAAAGTTCCGGGTGTGAACTTCTTGAAAAATTCGTATTAAGTCACGATAATTTCATAAAAGAGTTAGAGCGTTTGAAATCCGAGCTGCAGCGTAAATGTAATAACAAAAAACGAAAGGATCTGCTTAAAATCAAAAGTGTTTACAACTGTATGATTGATAATTTGTTACAAAACTTCCAAGTGGATTTGTATCATATTGGAAGCTCGATTAGAGCTCTTAATAAGAAATTATGCATCCCAGAGAGCCCGTATTTATCATCGAAGTATTTGATGCCTTGGTGCTCTGCAGGCGAAACAGGTACGGGTCGAAAGCTTCTCAGTTCACCGACGAGTGTCAATCAACATGGCATGCACGAAGAAACGACATCGGAGGAGAAAAATTTTCCAGAAAAATATGCGCGTGTTTTGGGAAGTGCGTCCGAGAAGTCGCACCCTAAAAATCAATCTTCAACACTGGAATCTCACACTTCAAACCAGGTTAGCAAAAGAATGCGTTCATCTATTTTATTTTTTTTCATTTAATGATGTCTTTATATTATAGGTGACCCTATTCTGATCAACGCGGGTCAGCTAAAATACTTGAGTCGATGTTGAGTGATTATCAAATATCAATAATTGAGTATTGGCTTTGCTAAAATGGTGATTCATTGATGAGGGTTGTATTTCTTTGCCACTTTTATTAGAATTGGACTTTGTAGGCTTTATGATCCAAAGCACGAGGCACAGAAGGTGCCCGATTAAAGGATGGGCGTACGCGCGAATTGTTGCGGATATTGTCATACGACGAATGTACTAAATCTGCTGCGAATTTACTGACGTGAAGCGAATAATCCGTGCCGTGTATTCAATCATACGGCGCATGAGAGTCCTAAGTGAACTTGGAACTGCCGAAGAGCACTCAAAAACAGCTCCGGCCGTGAAGGCCAGAAGAAGCGGACTCTGAGCACGGACTGAACGGGCTATATGGCACTAACGTTCACTTGTGGGCCTCACAAATGGAGTGCTACACTGAAAAAAAAGTTTACTATTTATAAGGCGGAGCCGCCTTGGACCAAGGAACCGTTTACTCAAAAAGTATCGACTAGTGACGGAAATTTATTCCAACAGAACAGAGTTCGATTGAATCAAGTAGGTACACGCGTTTTCTCAAACTAGCACTCCACGTGTATTTGGAGTGAGAACACGTTTACTTAAAAGTAGTAACTTCCGAGACGCAAAAATATTTACTGAAATTAAGTAATCACCTTTGGTTTGAAAGGAGTACCTACCTGTGATCTTGATCTAAGTCAACCGTTTACTTAAAATCAGGAAACGGTTGCGTGACTGACGAGCGCATTTACTGCTTACAGGCTGACGGTTGCTTTAAAATTAAAAAACGGCCTAGCATAGCGTCTGGCCGGAATAGGTTTTTCTCAGGCGCGTTTACTTATTTCTAGCCAATCCTTAATGTTTTAAATTTTTTAGTAAATAGTCACTTCATGTATGCCATACCATACGTATTATTATTAATCAATAGATTAATTTATCGAATTTTTGATGAAAAAAATTATTTAATTGCATATCTGCAGGTGTCGAAGACTCGACATGGCAAGTACCGACTTGCAAATTTTGACCTACCTATCGGGATTTGAACCTGGGACCTACAGTTTACGAACCTGACACCTTACCTAGTTAGTCATCGGGGCTTATGTCTCCGTCGGCCGAATTTACACTATATGCCATTGACTTAGGCTCTCACCATTATTGTGATAGTGAATATGCGTGGGACCTGATGGGATAAGACTTTTTGAACCCGAAAAGATGAATTTGGAGCAAAAAAGAAATACGCATGTTACTGTCGTCTTTTTTTTTTGTTTCGCATAGTCCATAAAGATGACGCACTGTGATCCGGTGCGGCGCAACACCGCAGTGCGCTTTGGTTACGAAAGAACACTATCATTGCGAAGCTCGTCAGCAAAATGGATTTTGTTCTCTTTCCTTCAAGATGCCTCAAATGCTCAATGCTATTTGGATGCGTTCTTTATCCATCGTGACAACAACCCTGTCATCCACGTGTAATCATGAATCTCTAGGGTCATGTCACAATGGATATCTTTTTTCTCCCTTTTAAATGCATCCGTTTATCAGTTAGGATCATTGATCATCAACAATGCAACAATCGACCCGCGCTGGGTGGAGTTTAGTGACACGGTATTCCTCTTGGGGAAGAGAAGGGAAAGAGTAAGAGAAAGAAGAAAACAAGCTGCTGGTTCCAACACTACTGTGTTGGAGAGCTCGCCTTTGTGAAACTATTAACATCTATTATTGATTATTTCTGAAATTGTATATATATATTATTTCAATCTCTACCTACCCCATTGTCAGAGGTTACATGCAGATGCAAAATGTTATGATGTATTTGCATAAGACAAATTTGTGACAAATAAGTGAATTCTAGCTTGGAGCTTGAGAGAGCACTTCAAGCCTTTGTATGCGAGTGGCTCAATGGAGCACCTCACGCACTAAAATTGTACGGAGCTCGAACGAGCACTTCAGCATCTGTATTTTAAGGTTAAAACGAACTCAAAAGAAACTCAATGCGAGGCTCAAACGAACTGTCAAGCATTTTAATATGAAACTCAAACGAACTCTCAAGCATGCTACTATTTTAAGGTTAATTAACCTCTTATGGTACCAATGATGACAATCTCAAGGATTATCTATTACTTATGCGCAAATTTCAATCTTAGTCTTAGTGACTAAGAATTAATTGAATAATTTATTAAATCACGTCGAGGTCACCATGTCTTTTACTTTAAGAAATAATAACAATTGCAAGTAGAACTGCATACAAAAACTATATTGAAAGATAAGAAGATGATAACATACAACTAGGTTATTTGGTATAAAACCATAGCAACATGCTATGGTATGCTCGGCCACCGGAAAGTGCTGCTCTCCAGTGTAGCAAATTAGGAACAATTAATCCTCAGTTGAATGAAGGAACGGAAATGTTCGACGAAGGAAAACTGTAACCCGCGAAAAAAGACAAAAATCAACTTTTGGACGTTAAAATCAATTGGATTTTGGCCGTTCCTCCGACGGCAACGAGAACCATCCGTTTGTCGCCACGGACACTGGTAATGCTAAAAGAAATCGATCGCAAAGAGCTCTCCCGAGAGGGCGAGCTCAATAGGAAGAAAGGGAAGAAAAGAAAAAAGAGGAAGAAGAAAATTAAGAGAAAAAAGAAGAAGATTAAGAGAATAAATAATGATGATGCGAATGATGTGATGATACAAAGTTCAACCAGCTAGTAAAAAATAGGAAGGAAAAAAAATAAAACAGATATTATGAAGCAAAATGTTTTTCTTGCTTTTCCTCGTTTTCTCCGGCTTTTTTGTTCCTTTTGTTCTTTTTTTGTCTTTCCCTCATACTCTTTTTTCATCATTTAAAGAAACTTCGTTTTATTTTACTTCCACATCTCCTTCTCCCCCCCCCATCCGCATCCTCCTTTCCACTAAATTCAAACAAATTAAACGAAGAAGAAGAAAACTTTGACTCCTTTTTTCTTTCAGTTTCTCTCTCCTGCCTTTTTCTCTTCATCCTAAGTTTTTCTTCAGAGGTTTTTTCCCCTCCGTTACAGGTTGCCAAAATTGCCTATATTCGATATGTTTAGCAAGCTGTCCATTTTATGCGTTATTTAAAAAGGTTAAAAAGGCGGAAGAATGGTAAATGAGTGGAATGATTGACTGTTGTAACAGTAAAAAAAAAATATGCTGTTAAATTAGTCTGCGGACTTGAATGCTTCTTATATGTGCGGGTGGGTTTGAGTAGGTGGCCTGCGCTTTTCAGCCTTTAACGCTAGATTCCTGTACATAAACTACCATTTAAAATAATATTTAATTGTGTACCCAATGTATGAATGCAGAAAATCAATTAAAATGTCTTCAAAAGAGCAATACTTTTATTTTGGTAGAAAAGACATTAATTACTCACTTCTTTGTTTTTATATTCATTAAAGAAATTAATCCAAGTACCTATACAACTGTACTGTTGTGTCTGAATATGGGTACTGTAGTGAAATAAAAGTAAAACAATACCAATTGATACTTAAAAAATATTGAATATTAGTAAAATTAATTCGTGAATTAAAAGAATGCAAGATTACGTGAGAAGGAATGTAAGAGTATTGTTTCATTTTTAAAATTGATTAAAAATTGTTTTTTTTTTCATTTTAAAAGGTCGAGTTTTCGGAGCCGTTCATCAGCGATACTTTTCAAGATGACTATAGGGTTGCACTTACCAGTTACGATAAAATAATAAAGTTTTTAAGAAGGCTCGACTCAATCTCCGAGCATTCTGTCAAAGATTCCCTCGATCTGGTGGAGACTGCTTTCAAAGAATATAAGCGAAAATCCTTCATCCTGAAAGATAAAATAGCGGCTAAGCTGATCGAGGTTTGCCAATCATTGGAGGTTGACTCACAAGAATACAGAAGCAAAATTTCTGCTCTTTTGAAGGAGATCAAAGAGAAACTAAAAATTATTCACGACACTTTTGACAAAGAGTTACATGAGGTTCGAGAGCCAGTTAAATCAAATCCGTCAGGTAAGGAAATCCAAAACCGTCATCAGGCAGACTCGGGTATTTTAGACCATAGTCTCTGTCTTTAGAAGCAGAAGAAGTGGGAGGAGAGGAAGAGGAGGAAGAAAGAAAAGGCATAATAAAAAAAGGACGGAAGAAAAAAGAAGAAGAAAATAAGATGTTCGTCTTTGCTCATATTCTCATTTTTCTAATTTTCTCCCGTACTAGCTGCTGCGGGCGATGGTGGTGCAGTAGCTGATTTGGAATCGGAGATTCAATTAGTTGAATCTATTTAATAATGATGATAGTTGAAGGAACGGGGCGGGAGGGATGGCTGAGAGCGTAGAGGGGGGGGGGNAGGGGGGGGGGGGTACTTAGCGACGGGCAAGTAGGCAGTGACCGGACGACCGCTCGAAACAGCTGAACTTTACTCGTTGATAAAAGTAAAAAAAATTGAGAGAATCGAAAAAAAATACAGCTTGCAAATCTACAGATCAGAGGCTTTCATTTAAAACACAAATCATACAAATCGGTCCGGTGGTTCTCTCAAAGTAACGTCCAAAGATTCAGAACTTTGTGTTTTAATATTTAGGATTGTTTTCTATCATCTTTTTTATCTCCCTCGTCTCTTCCTTCTTCCTCTACTTTTTATCATAGGAAAAGAGAAGAAGGGAAAGAAAAATAAATTGTACTTTTTATTCGATCCTCTTCTTTTTCATCCTCTTCTCCTATCCTCTTTTCCCCTTCCTCTCTTTAATACTTAATGTTTTATCTTCCTCATTCTTCCGTTTTCGCGATCTTTTCTCTCTTCCACTTCTTCCTATATTCCCTTGTCTTTTTTTCTCCCGCTTCGTTTCTCCCTTTTCTTCCTTCTTTTCATTCCCTTTTTTCTCTCCTACTTTCCTTTTTTTCTTTTTCTCCCTTGTCCTTCTTTTCCTCCACGTCTGCTTTTTTCTTTTGTTCTCTTTATACTTATTAAACACCACAAATTTCCTTTTCAGTTTCAACTGGGAGTAAATCCGATAATCTCCTTTCCAAAGTCGATTCAGAACTGACAAATCTCCTCAGCATCTATTGGAAAACTGACATTCTTCCAAGAATCCTTAGATTTCATCGATGTTTGGAGGGGATCAATACCTTGATACTCAAATTGAACCCACCTGACCTGAAAGACATCTACAAGTTGCTGCGATCCTTGCAGGCGGCTAAAAGGAAATACGGTGACGTTCTATGGCATGCAAGACGAGAATTTATCAAAGAAGTGGAGAACAAGATGAAAGTGGTCCCCACTTTGGAGTATTCGAGTACTTTCGACAAGATAAAAACATCGTGGCGAAATAAACTGACGCTGGAGCTGAGCGGATTCTCACGCGAGCTCGAGGGGACAGAGAAGTCACTGGACGAAGTTTACCGACGGCGTAACATCGAGAAACCAGCGTCTGCAACATCGATTAAGGTCAGAAGTCAATCAGTAGTGATGAACCACTAGATATAATACGAATTTACGCATTCGCATACGTTTCTACTTCAATTTTTCACGTAGAACACGATTTGGGCGGCGAAATATACTCAAATTAACTCCAAACTAAGGTATTTAGGTTCACGTTTTACGTTTGTTACAATTAATTTGAATCTCCTACTTGCATGAAAAATTAGAAATGACTTAAATCAAATCGCGCACCATCAGGGGGAGGACCCCAAAATAACCGGAATATTGTTGTAACATGGCAACGGTCGAAAATTACCGGATTCTACCGCTTGACAGTTTACCTATGGGCTAAGAAGAGTCACTAGGGCAAACTCGCAAGTCGTAGCATATTTTGGTTCATATTGGCAACCCTGCCGTCTCGTGAGTAGTGTCTAGCGAGATCGTCATTTTTTCAAAGCCAAGTGATTTTTACGGGTAACAACCTGCTGACTGTGTCAATTCCTATGAATGAATCTCGGAGGGAACATAATTACCAGTAAAGCAAGTGGGCAAATGTTTTTTCTTCGTTTTAAAGGCTGATTAATCGGTCAAACATCGGGCGGACTCCAAGCGGCTGTCAATAGGTATCAGGATCAATAAATGCGTTTTCCCGCACTTTAGCGGCAATCTAAAATTGCGTCAAAACTAACCCCCCCCCCCCCNCTTCGACTTCTTGCTACACATTTGATCGTGCGCCGCCGTCAGCGGTACCTTTACGCGTTTGCATATCGAGGCTAATCAAAACAGGCAACTTACAGAAGAAAGATATTAAGTTGTTTGTTTTGATTAGCCTCGATATTCAAATGCGGAGAGGTGCCGCTGACGGCGGCGCACGGTCGTATGTGTGGCAAGAAGTCGAGAGGTAGTTTTGGCGCCATATTAAATTGCCACTAAAGCGCGGTGTTTTACAATTCCGAACTTTAAAAGTCGTTTTTGGAGGGAATAATGGCTCCAAGAAATCTGAAAAAATACTGCGTGATCAGGAGACATTGTACATTCTGAAAATGCAAGAATTAGAAACAGGTTAACGAGTTCATTAAGTATCCTAACGGATGGACGTGGGTCTATTGGCCTTGCTCCCCTCATCTGTCTTCTCCGTTAGCAGAAATTTTTTGTAAATTTTGAGCAACGAAGTCGGCTAGTCCCTATTTTAGAAAAATACAATTTTATGAAAATGTTGATATACCTAGCTCAATGTAGATGCGTTTGGCCATACACTTTGGCCATGAACAAATTGATATGGAATTAAATTAATCTTGATGAAATTAACCATTGATTTTATGGGATCCAAAACCAAGAGTTTATGCGAAAACAATGTTTTAATGTAAATGAATTAAAAAATCAATCCAGGGTAGGCTAGGAGACTGGTTTCAATGTCTCATGTTCGTCGAATTGCATTAGAAGCAGACCTTATTTCATTCTGAGAGAGTAAGGAATAATAGTCTTAATTTCTCCGGCTCAATTTAAAGGTAGAAGCCAGCATGTTCCGGCTGGACAACAAGCGACTCGGGAGAGCCTTCTGCGACGCGTTTTCGGTGTTAATCGTCGAGTACGACTGCAGGCTGGACGATCTGAGCAAACTCATCCTGGATGCAAACAGCACTGAATGGCGATCCAAGTCGGACGCTTTCTGTAAACTCCTCAATGCTTGGTCGGGCCTCTTCTCGTCCATCCTCAAGATCAAAGAAGAACTCATCGGTGAGCTTGGATCAAAACCCTTATTTTTGCTTAATCAGATTCAAACTGATCCGGGCACGAGATTTGCTACGAAATGACGCTGCTACGTGGCCTGTTTCTATAAGAAGCAATAATTATAGCAATGCGCAAGTTTTCAAGAACTGATCCATGATATTTAGCAATATTGATACTGAGTGGCAAAGCTGTAAAGATTCATTAAACATTAATACCGGACACTAGCCCACGACGGACGTCGCTTTTCTGACTGTATGTTAGAGAGAGAGAGATAATGTTATAACACTCTTTTACAAATAGAGTCAATGAGTGACGTCCGTTTTAGTGGCTTCCAATATGAATTTTCGACAAGTTCTCTTTAAAGAGCTTGATGCAAAAACGGCTTTTTTCGCCCCCCCTCTGGAATTTCTTCAGACTTTGTCTATTGATTACTCATACTTGAGCGCTTCTTTTCCCAAATTTTCAGACCCCCAAAAAATTTTTGGGGGGAGCTAGGGGGGGGCGGAAGTCAAAACCTGTGAAACTTGATATCTCTCGAACGAAGAAAGATATCGAGGTCCGGTTGAGCGGCCGGTCGGCGCTCAGTGGGCCTCTAAAATAGCGCTACGGAGCTGTAATTTTAAAAACGTGAATTTTTTTGAAGTATCTGTGATTTCTGAACTCAGCGTTTCTCAAGAGTCCCTAATAATGCATTTTGCTCAGTTTGAACATTCAATCTGATTTAATAACAGTGAAATCCGACTTTTTTGCGCGCGAAAATCGGTCGGCGCGCGTTGAGCGGAAACTTCAACCGATCATAACTCCGGAACCGTATGGTTCCCCAGTCTACTGGACCACTCGTTGGATGCGGAAAAAAACGAACAATTTAAAAAACTGGTTTTGGTTCAAATGAAAGTANTGCGCCATCTTGAAAAATACACCATTGCATAACCCGAAAAATGAAGGGGCATTAATACACGATTGCATAACCCGCATATTGAAGGGGCAACATGCAATACTTTCTTTTTACAGCGTTGCCATATTGAACAATAATCCCTATACAACGCTGTAATTTAATTCATATTTTTCTGCACAATTTGGCTAAAAACTTTTGTGCTAAGATTCCTGTTTTTACCCTACTAATGAAAAATTGAAATCTTTGTAAAAATTTTTTTGAAAAGAAATTTTTCAGACCCAAAAACTGGAAAAAAGCACATACAGGATGTCTCACGAAAAACGAGCCACCTTGAATATCTGCCGAACGCGTCGGAATTTCGAAAAACGGTAAAAGACGTGTTCGTTTATATCGAGGGGGACACCTTTTGGCGTATTCGACATTTTCCCAAACCGCGGGAGGGGCGCGGGGCGGGGGGTGCCCCACCCGTAAGTCGAACTTTTCAAATGGCACTCCTACTTTTTTATTTCAGAAATCAATTCTACGCAAAAAAACAAGCCACCCTGTCTAAACCGAATGTAAATCGGACAATTTTTCAGTGATTGACAGAGTTTGAAACATTTTTTTCATGCTCTTTTCAAAAATTTCCCACACCCAATGGAATTGCTGTATCAAACCAAACTCTCCGCCAAAAAAAATCTTAAACATGGCACTTTCGATAAAAAAATAAAAAAAATCTGCTGCACTCGAAATCTGGAGCACGCGGAGCCCTTCTTTGCGACATTAAAATTCGTTATACTGAACATTTCCGAGGGGCGCTCATCGGGAGGGAGTAGTAAGTTTTAGACAAGAATTATTAATCTTTTTTCTGAAGCATAAGAAACCGTGTCCACAAAGAAGCAGTTAAGTAGAAAACAAATGGATTAGCTTTTTTTTGGGGGGGGGGGGTCAATGACTTGAGCCGGACCTTGATACTTCTGAGGACGCTATTTTTCCGCGGTACGTTGTTTTTCTACTTAACTGCTTCTTCATGGACACGGTTTCTTATGGTTCAGAAAAAAGATTAATAATTCTTGTCTAAAACTTACTACTCCCTCCCGATGAGCGCCCCCCGGAAATGTTCGGTATAACGAATTTTAATGTCGCAAAGAAGGGCTCCGCGTGCTCCAGATTTCGAGTGCAGCAGACTTTTTTTATTTTTTTATCGAAAGTGCCATGTTTAAGATTTTTTTTGGCGGAGAGTTTGGTTTGATACAGCAATTCCATTGGGCGTGGGAAATTTTTGAAAAGAGCATGAAAAAAATGTTTCAAACTCTGTCAATCACTGAAAAAATTGTCCGATTTACATTCGGTTTGGACAGGGTGGCTTGTTTTTTTGCGTAGAATTGATTTCTGAAATAAAAAAGTAGGAGTGCCATTTGAAAAGTTCGACTTACGGGTGGGGCACCCCCCGCCCCGCGCCCCTCCCGCGGTTTGGGAAAATGTCGAATACGCCAAAAGGTGTCCCCCTCGATATAAACGAACACGTCTTTTACCGTTTTTCGAAATTCCGACGCGTTCGGCAGATATTCAAGGTGGCTCGTTTTTCGTGAGACACCCTGTATGTTGACTTAAAAATGTGATATCGGGATTTTGACCTTTGGAATCCTAAAGTATGCAATTTTCGACGATTTTTAGTCCAAACCGGACCTCGATATCTTTCTTCGTTCGAGAGATATCGAGTTTCACAGGTTTTGACTTCCGCCCCCCTAGCTCCCCCCCAAAAATTTTTGGGGGTCTGAAAATTTGGGAAAAAAGCGCTCAAGTATGAGTTATCAATAGACAAAGTCTGAAGAAATTCCAGAGGGGGGGGGGCGAAAAAAGCCGTTTTTGCATCAAGCTCTTTATGTCATAATAGAATAGAATAGAAATAGAATAGAAATCATAATACTAGAAAAAATAATACTCAGTGTGAACGCCACTACGCACTATGAATAAGCATCTTGCAATAAATTGTGTATTATGATTAATCTTGCTTCTCAAAAACACAATGTAGTAACGCAACGGGGTGATGGATCTCATCCTTAGATCCTTTAGAGTACCCTTAAAAGTAATTGCGTAGGAGACCTTCTTTTTCTTCTTTTTCTCCTTTTTCGTCTACTGAGTAATCTTCATTACTTCCTGTCGTTGCTATTTCTCGTCTTAATCCTCCCCCATACCTTCTTTCCATTTTTCTTCTTCCTCCTCCTATTTCTCCTTCTTTTTAATTTCTCTTCCCTTCCTGTTTCTTCTTTCAATTCTAATTTCTCCCTTTGTTTTTGGTAGATACCGCAAATCCCAACTCGACCTCGATCTTGGAATCAGCGAAGCTTTTCCGGTCTAAACTCAAAGCGCCGTTGGCTGCATTCCGGTCCTTACTTATCAGTGTCGATTCTACCCTCGGAGGTCTTGCCGCCAAGCTGGGTCTTTGTTTCCGACAGTATTCCACGAGCGTCCCTCTTTCACCTTGGCGAATTCGAATCCAAACGGACGAGATGCAAACCGACAGTTCGGATGTCATCAAAGCCGTTGCAAATACAATGTTGTAGAGAGAGAGAGAGACAATGTATGTAAGAGACCTTAACAGGGCTGGATTAACGATTTTACCGCTGTGGACACGCGGAAATTCCCCCCCCCCTCCCAAAAAATATGGAAAATCTGACCACTGTAAGATGCAATTTCAGCCCATTTTTTACTTAAAAATTTCCAAAAATGAGGCTGTAATTTTTTTAGCTTTTAATCCAAGTTTTACTATGGGTTTATTGTTTAATCAAGAACTTAATTTTAGATGATTTTAAAGAATAAACTCATTTGTGTATAGGGATGTTGTCACCATCGCAAACTTATAACTAAACGAATCGAACACAATAAAACTATGGCATTTTACTCGGTAAAACACGAACGCGTTTCGAAAATAACGAGCGATAAATAAACTAAATTGAACCAAATTCACTAGGCCCCCGGTGGCGGCACGCGGCAGACGTACAGGTGTTTACAAAACAATACGGGAGTCAGTCAACTGCCAAAACAAATCACTGCTCCAGACAGGGACTTGGTACTGAGAGAGGGGTGAGGGGAGCGGCGGCGAGGCGCTTGCGCGTGCTGAAAATCGTGTCAGGTGGCGCGGCGCAAGGAGGTGGTGCGAAGATACAACAGTGCTTGCGGTCGCGAAAATTTGCCGCTGTACGACACAGCCCTTCTCCTGCTGACGAGACTGCCATTTCCTTTGGGACCGTCCATAAATTACGTCACCTATTTGTCCGATTTCTTGATCCCACCCTCCACCCCAGGCGAGTGACGTAATGTTTTGGACGGCCTCTTCTCTCTAATTTAAGTTATATTTTCCGGTCAAATTTTCAGGGGCGGCACTTTTTTTTTTTTTTTTTTTTTTTTTTTTTTTTTTTTTTTTTTTTGTTCCTCGATTTCTGCCGCCCCCGAAAATTTGCCGCTGTGGGCACAGGCCCACTTTGCTTCTACGGTTAATCCAGCCCTGGACCTTGAACTAGCAATCTTAGCAATGAAGTCGGATAAGAAAAATTGCATGTTCCGAGGTCAAGATATCGCCCGACAAAGACGCACGGGCAACTTGTTGAGCATGAAATTCACGAAATGATGATTAATAAAAGTCACGGCAAGAACTTTGCTGAAGCCGATCTGTAAGCTAGGTTAAAGTTCGTTAACAAATTGGTATACTTTTTTATCATTACTGCGGTCATAAGGCGGATGCCATCGATGGTTCATAAAAGTAACTATTACAGTACAGAGTAGATAGCTATATGGGGTCCCTGCAAATCAGAAACTAAACATTTTAGAGACCCCTTAGTTACAAACAATCTATGCCAACGGTTTCCAACCTTCGACAACTTATTTTCCGGTTTGTGCATTTTTAAATCGACTTATCGAACAAAAGACTTTTAGTAAGCCTTGTTTGACCACCGATCAGAAACCTGCAAAATACCGGTTGGAAACTGCGGATGTATACGATTCAACCATGCAGGGCAAATATTAATTCGGAGCGCAGCGTTACCTACTTTTCGCCGAATCATGGCTGATGAGCAGCTTGTTGAGCACAAACTTCGCCAAATGATGTTTGATGGATATTGAGACGAGTATTTGGCTAAGCGAGTATTCTTGCTAGTTAGCTTAGGATTTCGAGGTCAATTTTATGTTTAAGCCCATATTCTTGACTCAATTGCAGATGTTAGTCAGTAAACTAAGGCCTGATAAAATGATTTTGGAGATATAACTTCATCTATCTTCAGAGACTACTTTCATCTAATAGGACCAGGTCTCCTACTGCTGGTAAATAAGTGTCTGACTGATGGAATCTTCCCCGAATTGCACAAAATTGGCAGAAATACACCAGTGTATACCTAATAAAACTAGTAAAAAATCTATCATGTCTAATTATAGACCATTAACAATCCTACCTACTCTATCAAAGATTTTTGAGCTGGCAATACATGATCAACTTCATAATTACTTTGAAAATCACCTTTGAGGACAAAGTGCAGGCAGTTAGTCTTCACTTTGATCTTTCAAAGGACTCTGATACGATAAATCATGATCTTCTATTAAAATAGATTTAAACTTTACGGATTAAATGACTCAGCGCTTGATCTGATCAGGTATTATCTAAATAATAGAAAACAGGTACTTAAAATTGATACCGAAAATGGTCTAATTTTCTCGGAAGTTTCTGAATGTAAAATAGGAGTACCTGAGGGATCAAGACTAGGCCGTCTGTTATTTTAATATTCATTAATGATCTTCCCAAATATGCTGGATTCCCATACCTTTATGCTGCACAGCACGTTTTAAACACTTTCAATGCGGTCAACGTACCTTTTACGATTTTTTTTCAGAAATGTCAACTAAAAGGTCTATTCATTGAGGAACAACAAACCGCGAAATCCGTAAAATGACAGTTTTTGAGGAAATGCAATTTTTCGCTTTTTTGGCGGCAATTTCGGGTCAAGGCGTTGAAAAAGTCAAGTTAGGCTGCCTTTTTGGCCTGTAAATGCATTTCCAATACACTTTTAGTCAATAAAGTGTCCTTAGATAGCTATTCGTGCAAATTGCCCTAAATTCATATTCTTATTCTTTTTTTTTGCTGGTTTAATGGCTTCGTGTCTATCACCTTCAGCCAACATTAGACAATGTTTAGTGTCCGTAGACATCGTGGGATATTCATGTTCCAGGCTTCTCCAATTTTCAGGGATTAGGGCTGAGGAGAATCTGTTCAGCATATCTACTCGTCAATTCCGTCAAAAATTAGACGCCACCACCGGGATTCGAACCCGGGACCTATTGACCTAGTGTCAGATGCGCTGACCACTAGGCCAACCTGGCCGGCCAGTTCATATTCTTAAATCCACAACTTTTGGGTTTTTAGGGGCTTAGTCAAGAAGAAATGCGAAAAAAGAGGGTTAACCCGAAACAAATTGCTTAACAAACTTTTCCTATGTAACCGTCGTCAGTAGGTCCTCTTGAATAACATACCAAAAGTTTACCACGGTTCGATCCCGGAACACCCCCCCCCCCCTTAATGCCTAAATTTCAAAATGGTGGCCATAATATGGCCTCTGGGATTTCGATTTTTTTAAATACGTATATCGTGTCTTGTGAAGTGTTGATTCGAATGTAATTTTGGTCTAAAATTTCAGATATGAGGTCAAAAAAGTTCCGCGGTCAAAGGGGGTTCCTCAAATCCAAGATGACAGCCAATTTTGAAAGACAAGAGGGTGGACTTTTAAAAAAATTGCGTGATAGGGCAAGTGAGGTATCATTTCTTATGTAATTTTGGTCTTAGATTTCAATTATGAAGTCATAAAAGCCCTCCAGTCAAAAGGATTGCTTTACATGCCAAGATGGCGGCCAAATTTGAAAGGCAGGAGGGTGAATTTTTGAAATGTTTACGTGACATCCCTAGTAAAAGTGAAGCAGCCTAACGTCTGGCAAAAGTACCCTGAGTCAGACTGATGTCAGCCTGAATTAGTCTGACTCAGACGGTCTAGTCTTGATTCCTGAGGTACTCCTGTTTTACTTTCAGAAACTTCCAAGAAAATCAGACCATTCTCAGTATCAATTTTAAGTACCTGTTTTCTATTCTTTAGATAAGACCTGATCAGATTTAGCGCTGAGTCATTAAATCCGTAAAATTTAAATTTATTTTAATAGAAGATCATGATTTATCGTATCAGAGGCCTTTGAAAGATCAAAGTGAACACTAGCTGCCTGCACTTAGTCCTCAAAAGCTATCAAATACTTGTATCCAAATATATAATTTAATATGTATAAAATATATGTATTTCATACTTGTATAAAATTCGCATTTTCTCTGTATCTCATTTGTAGTTCCCATGTTTTCCACTAGGGTTCTCTGCTGTCTCTTTTTTGTGGAAATTACAAGTTGATGATTTTTACCCTCGTTTAGAAGGTTTTTTTAAAGGAATTTGCACATCTTGAAGAAATGAGAGCATTTTAATCTTTGTGTTAAGCATATTTCCATATGAAAAAATAGAGACTATCATGGCAAATCGGGGTCTCGAAACGATGGATACTTTCCAGGGAAGGCTTCAGTAGGATCCAGAGTTCTGGTGAGCTCCAAGCCAAAATTGTAAAAGTGGTTCGATACAAACCCCGTTGCACACTGCACTGCCTGGTCACAGCTCTAACCATTAAAGGCGGAAAAAAATTCCAGTAGACTTGCTCAATTAGTGCAAGGGGTGGGAGACTGGGAAAATTCATGATGAGTCTATTTTGAAATTCTGCATGCTGGTAATGAATGGTCATCAGGATCCATTGATATAATAATGTGCGTACAAATACTGTACTGTTGTATTAATGTAATAAAGGCACCTGATAGTCAATAGGAATATATTTTTACACTCAACCAAATAAATTAATTTGGGTATATGATATGTAGATACTTAATAAATACGTATCTCGATACGTGTCATTATAAATTACAACAAAAAGAGTAAGTTCATACGGTATTTGGATACTGTATTTTACGCAATTTTTTCAGTATTTAACACAAATTTTATACATACATATTTAGATACGTATTTTTGCCGTATTTTGAGTTGTATTTTTTACAGGGTGTACCAAAAGTCCGTCCCATCCCTGCTAACTTTTGAACGAATTGAGCTAGGAAAATGAAACTTTAGGAATGTTCCTATCTCAAAGGGGACCGTGTTTCGGGGGGTCAAAATTTGGGGCGCGGGGGACCCCAAACTTTTTTTTTCAAATGGCAACCTCTATCATGTGATACTTCATTCGAAAATGCATAAAATTCTAAGAATTCTGGCGCAAACCGCAGATCAATATCTTAACTTTTGACCGAGTTATGTTAGGTCAAAAGGTCAAATTTTACCTATTTTAAAAAAAATCATAACTCTGGTTCAAATTATCGTAAAGAAAAAAATGAAACGTGAAAATTTACCAAATTGTGTCCGCTTTTAAATAAAAATTGCAGAAATCACTTCGATTTAATTTTAAGGGGGGCTCGGACCCCCAAATACGTCAATTCAAAGGTCATTCAATTTTCCCGCGAAATAAGCCAATTTTCCCTGGATTTGCCTCCTCATTATCTCAGTAAGGTCAAAATCAGTTTAACATTACGTTGGCAAGTCTCCAAATTCCGAGAAAGTTAAAAAAACGAAATTTAAAAAGCCAAATTTAATCACCTTAAATTTCGTTTATTTTAACTCTTCCCGAAACTTGGGGACTTGCCAACGTAATATTGAACTGATTTTGACTTTACTGAGATAATGCGGAGGCAAATCTATGAGAAATTGGCTTATTTCAGGGGAAAATTGAATGACCTTTGCATTGACGTATTTGGGGGTCCGAGTCTCCCTTAAAATCAAATTGAAATGATTTCTGCAATTTTTACTTACAAGCGGACACAATTTGGTAAGTTTTCTCGTTTTATTTTTTCTTTACGATAATTTGAACCGGAGTTAGTCTTTTTGAAAATAGGTCAAATTTGAATTTTTGACCTATTATAACTCGGTCGAAAATTAAAATATTGATGGTGCGGTTAGCGCCAAAATTCTTAGTTTTTTATGCATTTTTGAATGAAGTATCACAAGATAGGGGTTGCCATTTGAAAAAAAAAAGTCGGGGGCCCCCCGCACCCTCCTGAGAGGGACCAAAATTTTGACCCCCCCAAAGACGGTCCCCTTTGAGATAGGAACATTCCCAAAGTTTTATTACTCTAGCTCAATTCGTTCAAAAGTTAGCAGGGGCGGGACGAATTTTTGGTACACCCTGTATGGTACTTTGGCTTCACCGGTTTCGTCCTTGCGAAACATAGTATAGTGAGGTTTGTATAGAGAACATCGCCTCTGATTGTGGCGTTGCAAAGGTATGTAAGGAATGACGTAATATGTGAATCGACGTTCGAAAATACTTCTCTAAGGATTCTCGTAAGAAAATATTAAATACGAATTATATGCATTTATGCATTTATTCATTGTTGGTTCTTTTTTACATAGCTTGGCAACATGGAACTTTATTGCGTTTGAATTGCTCTTAAGTTGCGTAATGCCTAATTTTACGTAAACTGTATTAAACTGGCCGTAATTTTGTTTGAAATGAACAGTTACAAAAATGCATCAAATTTGTTTATTTGTAAACTATATTTCCGGCCCTTTAAATTGTTAGCTTTAAGGTAGTGATAAATAATATCTATGGGTTGCTAATTTGATGTTCCAATACCTACTAGGGCAGATCGAAAAAACTGGAATATTGCTCGTAACTTGCAAACAATAAAAAGTTCCCGGGCTTCCGCTACTGAAGGGTGTAACTAATTCCTATACAGAGTTGTTGGGCCAAATTGCGACGTCATAACACGTGTTTTTCGTTTTGGCGAGACTTAGCTCAAGGAGTTGTTCGGCAAGCTCGTCATTTCTTAAAATGGGTCAATTTTACTGGCAAAACTCAATTTTTTTCTTACGTGGTGAAAACACGGCTTTTTCCGTATTCTTCGAGGTGTAGCTGACAAAGGACATGCCTCATCAAAAAATGAAGTTTAAGTATTGTTTTCTTCCTTTAAAAGAGGGATATTGTATCGCCCGAAATGTCTTCCTGGCTAAAAAACGCCGCCAATTTTTAGAAACGATATAAATTTATACGAGAATTCGTATTCATGGGAATTCCAGTCCCTTAAAACCATTCAATTAACTAGCAAATTTTAATGGATTGTCATACGAAAATACTCAAAACACTGATACAATAAATTTGCGCCTAAAACGCGTTGTTGCAGAATTGATCCCTTATTTACTGTTCTACTTTTAAGTTTTGAACATACAATTTTGATACATATTTACCATGACTTAGAACATTTTTAAACAGGAAAGAAGGCATTTTTAAGTATAATACACAATAGAAGTTTTCCTAACGATGATACTTTTACTGTTTTTTTTTATAAGTTGATGTGAATATCACGAGTTTCTTAATTTTCATTTTAACAGTCAATTCTAATAGGATGAGAAGAAATCAATCTGAGTGTATATCCGAATCCTACTCACCGGTTCTTCGAGAGTAGTTGATATTGCGGGTATCCTGCTTAGCAAGCTCCCTGCATTGTAAAGTAACTACCCTGATCATTCCGATGAACATATGGATGAGCGCAAACAAAATCCGCGAGAAATTGCAAATGACTGCAATTTTTATGGCTTTGATAAGGCAAACAAATTAGCAGAACACTGTTGTCGAGTATTTTCGTAATCATGGCTTATAATGGAGTCCTAAGGTTTTCCTGAACAGAGGAAATTTTTCATAATTTTTCCAACATATAGCTTACTATCAATAGTATCCTAACTAAAATGACTTCAACTCTCGGGATCAATTCTTCCGATGGAAATAAGACAATTTTGTTCCATGACATTCTTTAGTCTCAAGCTCTCTCAGGGTGTGGGTAAATTTTAGAGGGCCTCCAGGAACCATCCTTCATGTATTCAGTTTTTATCGGTGTGTCACCAGAAATGAAAAAAAAAACCCAAAAAACCTCCTCCTAGCCTCATATTTCACGCTTGTTGAAAAATGTGACTGTAATTGTGGAAAGAAAATTGTCGAGAGACTTTGAGGGGTCATATCTATGTAGCTCAAATGGCTCAAAAGGTAAACATTCAGAAAACAATATAGTCTTATTACGGGTTTTTTCTCTTTGTCTATCTCCTCTTCTCCTTCTCCCTTTCCGTTCTGAAACTTTATCTTCCAACCTTTCTCTTTTCCTTTCTTCAATTTCATCTCCTATCACTCCCTTTTCCGTCCTTGTTCCCAATTTTCTCCTTATTCCACTTACCTATTTTTATTCTTCTCACCCTGATTTGTTTCTTTCTTCTATTTTCTCTCCTCATTTCTCGTCGTATGTACCTAACTCTCCTTCTTCTCCCTCTCCTCCTTCTCCTCCCTCTCCTCCTTATTTTCCCTTTCCTCTTCCTTCTCCCTCTTCTCTTTATCTTCTCTTTCCTCCTTCTTCATTTCTTTTCTTTCTTTATCCTCTTTTACTTTTGCATTGTCATCTATAACATCTACCTTTGTTCCTGTTTTCCTTTCTTTCTTCTTCATATTTTGCTTCTTCCTTTCCTTCCTCTTCTTCTTCATGCTCTGGTTTTCGTACTTCTGCTTTTCCAATTTTTTTCTATTCCGATCGTTCTACTTAATCTTTTTCTCCCCTTCCTCCTCCTCATTTTTCTTCTTTTCCTTCTGCATCCGTCTCCTTTACTTTTCCTCTTCGCCTTTTTTTACTCTCGTCTTTTTCATATCTTTCTTCCTCCTCTGCTCTTCCTTCTTCTCCCTGGTCTTCTACTTCTTCAAATTTTCCTCTTTTTTCCTTCTTCTTCATCTCTTTTTCTTCTACTTTTTCAGGTATGTCTTCTTCGTCATCCGTCTTCGTCTCTGTTTTACCTTCTCTTTTCTTCTTCTCCTCCTACTTCTTCCTGTTTCGCTTCCGCCTTCCTTCCTTTTGTTCCTTTTTGCGCACCCCTATTACTATCCTTGATTTCGTCTTGTTAATGCGCTTTTTCCCCTTATTCTTGTACTTTTTCCTCTTCATTTCCTCTTTCACGTTCCTCTTTATTTTTTATCTCCTCCTTCCATTTTCCCCCTACATTTTATCCCTCTTCATTATTATTTGCCGTTTATTCTATCATTTTCCTGCCCTATTTCTCATTTTATCCGTATGATTCCTCTTTTTCTTTTCTGTCTTCGACTTACTTCGCTCCTTGTTCACGTTTTCTTCTTCCACTCATTCTTCTTCTCATTTGTCCTTTCTTCAGTTGTTCGATTTCTAATACATCCTCCCAACTTATTTGCTGAACGGGATTTTCTCGGAGCCCTCCATTTGAATCTGCTTCATTTCAAGACAATATAAGCCTCAGGTGTGTAAGAAAGGCTGTCACCTTTGAGACTTCCGTTTCAATCTTGCAACTGGGTGGAGGGCTGGTGACACGGACGTCGAAATGATTGTTTGCTGATGAAATTGAGATGCATGCGAGCGGGCATCTGTTGCATCGAGCGGGCCTTGTCACCTGTGGTGGTCATATAAAAAGCCGTGGCGGAATCTGTTAGATCGACTCGCCCCTTGTGCTTCCTCACAGCCGGGCCCATCCATCCCTTCAGTTTAAGATGGCTTCCCTCAGGCTCATAATCGCCCTCTTGGCCCTCGTAAGTACTCGAACCACTCCAACTAACCTAACTTAACTTTAATGAACCTAACGTAACATAACCTTACATAAGCAAAGACAATCCATATTAGAGACCGTGCACAAAGAATCTAAGCAGTGTAATCGAATGAACAAAATTTAAGTTCGGAGTCCAACTCTAATTTCCGCCCAATAATCATGGTTGATTTATGATTTGTTCAGCAGAAAGTAAATGAGAGGAGAAGTATCAATTAGAGTCGTTTTAGACCCACCTTAGCTGAATTTCCTCAACTCTTAATTTTTTTGCGTATTGAAGGTCTACAAACTTAGGTAAAATATTGGCCAGCTCATTTGTCTGTAGGCTGACTTCCGCGGTAAATGTGGATTTTCCGGCAATCGACCGCGATACCGGCATTTTTTGCCAAAATCAGCCAGACTCATGTTTAGGCCAATATTAGATCCGAAAAGAAACCGAAAACGACCGAGTCATGTTGCATTCCGTTAAATAAAGACCTTTAATGAGCCAGCAATTGTAGAGGTAGCAGTTGGTATGAAATAAGCCAAAAAACGGTCTTCATCATCCATACTTGCCTTGCCTAACTAATGATAATGAATGAGTTTTAGAGGTAAGGTTGAGAATTTGAGTACACCAGGACTTGCAAATTAAGTTAGAATTACTGAACCAAATATTTAACTCTCTGGTATTCAGACATCATTGAGTGAATTTCAAATTGACTTCAGCTAGAAATGTTAACACTATAAGGAAGATGGCAGTGCGAGATCTAAAAATATGTCGTCTCTGAACACAACTCAAACATTCCCATTGGAGTGTTGGCACCCTCAATCGGTGAAATCAACTAAAAATTTCTCCTGAGACGACTCGATTTTTCAAAATTTTTCCGGGGCACTTTCAAAGCAAGGAGAATCCCTAAAGCCTTCCCCTGGAATCTGGGGAATCCTAAGGATCCCCCATGATAGGTTGTGCCTTGGTGTTCCTGCCCTCTAGACCCCCTTTGATATTTGCCAATCTGCCCTCCCACACCAGAAGTTTCTGGTTCAGCTCATGCTCATTATACTGTCTTTTGAGTGATCATTACGTTCGTAGTGCACGCTCTTTCCCGTCGTTTTCCATCGGGCGTGTTAATAGTATACCATTGGTAAGGCCCTCGCTGCCCCATGGGTATTGTCGTCATTTTTTGCGGCGGGAAGAATTACCTATTTTCTCAATGTTTTTAGTTACCATTTCCACCTTATTTCTCCTATCTTGTCCACCTTGTAATGACCATTGTACAAGGTGGAATTCGTTCTGGATGACCCATTAAGACTATTAAAGCCACAATCAGAACTTCATTAAACGATTGATTGATCTAATTCATGAAAATCCATATACTGTAGCCAGTCAAGGTCACCCTATATTTATGCTACTATGGATAGGGAGAATTCGGCCGAACACTGAACAGCTGCGAGAAAATATTTAGCAGTTTCCTAAAATTTCTTGAGATCTTAAGGTGGAGGTAAGGCAAGTCAAATTTTACGTTAAAGGGTGTCTGGGGATGCATTACGAATCGTTACAAGCAGAATGAGTGGGGGAGGGGATGCCGAAAAAGTCGTTACATAATTATTGAACGCTCCCTTAAGCCTCGTGTTCTCCCTGTTGCAGGCGTGCGGAGCCCTGGTGGACGGAATTCCGTGCAAGCTGAATAAGAAGGCGCCGTTAGGCGTCTGTGGCCGTGCGGTAGCCGCCGTTGACGTCAATGTCAACGTTAAGACTTGCCCGGATGAGATGATCCGCGTCTACTTCGACGAGGTCCGCGTTACCGTCACAGACGACTACAAATGGATCCAGGCCAACATGAAGGCCATCGCTGCCCAGAAGGCCGCCGCCGAGTACGCCGCCCTTGTCGAGCTCCTCGCTCAGCTTGAGGCCGCCAAACGCACCTTCGACACCGACTACAACGTTATCCAGACCGAAGTCTACGAGCGCGTCACCGGCTTCCAATCCAAGTAAGATCAAAGGCAACTCCTTCTCTGTTTCCGTTTTCAGGTTTAAGTCTCCGTCTCCAAAATTGGATGACAAAGACGAAGAAGAATAAATGAGAAGAGAAAATTAGTTATGAGACAAGTAAGGAAGCAACATGAAGAAGTCAAAGAAGAAGAGAAATTATGAAAAAAAAAATACGGAGAAGAGAATAAGAAGTATGAAGGAGACGAAGAAGAAGTGAATGATGAAGAAAAATATGGAGAGGGCGAAGAAAAAGAAGAAGAAGAAGAAGAAGAAGAAGAAAAAGAAAAGAAGAAGAAGTAGAAGTATTCCTAGAAGAGAAAGAAGAAGAAGTAATCCTAGAAGAGAAAGAAGAAGAAGTAGTAATCCTAGAAGAGAAAGAAGGAAAATTTGAAGAACAACAAACTCTCTCCTCTCTCTCTTTCCTCTTCCTCTTCCTCAGACACTACTTCTTTTTCTTCCTCATCTGTCTCCTTTTCTTTCCTCCACTACTTGCCTTTTTTCTTCTTTATCTTATTCTTCGTCCTCTTTTTTTCCGCATTAAAATGCTGTCTTTCTTTTTACTTCCTTTTCGTAGTTCCTCCTTTGCTCAATCAGAGACTAGGATATACGAACGCGTATCTAAGTAGGAGCTCGCATCGCACCTTACCATGAATAACTCCTGGCCCAAACAACCGTGTTATTAAAGAGTGTGGGAACGCCCAAAGTCTTCTTCAAAATCCGACAAAAGTAAAAATAAACTGAGTCATTCCGCTAGAGCTGCCCAATTCAATTCGTCTTATTCCTAGAAATTAAGAGCTGTGGTCCAGGAGTAAATGAGAAGAGGTCGACATCATTTCAGACAAAACATCAAGAAATCTATATCTTTCCGCAAGACACCTGTATTACTTAGAATTAAGTACCGTCAATGAGCCAGTTGCGATTGTCTCAGCATCGTCTTTTGATGCTGCGTAACAGCAACTTTCTACGTTCAATTTTAACGGAGATAGCGCGATTTGAAAAAATTGATTTATGGCGTCATCCACCGAAGTATCCACCCTTGCTATTTTCCTTCTTGCTCTCATCCGAATTACACGTAGCCAGTGTAAATGTGTGTTTCTCTGACTGATAAAAGCGAGGTGGAAGAAATCAAGGCTGTCACTGCCGCGGTGGATGACGTCATAAACCGAATTTTTCAAAGCGCAATGTCTTGCTTAATATTGAACGCAGAAAGTCGCCCTTTGGACGGATTTTATTATTTTTAGCTGATGATCGACAAGGATCAAGCATTTTAATACGATCTGCAACGAGCTAATTTGACCCATTCTGCTAATGTTTAAACTGAAAAATTCGAATGTTTTGTGTAATAAATATCGTAACTACAGGAATATACATATTATGGCTTAACATGCGTCAACATGAGATAAGAAAAATCCATACTTTCAAAGATAAAAACCGTTAATCATTATCTATTCAAACTTTTTCTGGGAATCTTCCGGTCTTACATCGGCAACTGTACGAAGAACGAGGGATTCGTCCATCAAAATTGGACACATTGCTGCCAAACGGAACTGTGTGCATTATGATGTGAGCCCTGTTATGCATATATTGTTACGGGTCACAGGGCTCATGTCTTAATGCAAATAGTTCCGTTTGGCAGAAATACGTCCAATGTATCGTTATGCTGCCATGAGTGACTTTATTTTCAGGATTGATAGACAAAACAACAGATCAAGGTCAAAAAGGGAAAATGGCGTGATCTAATTGGTGAAAACGAATGGTTGCAACAAACAACGGAAATACCTTAGTAACAGATTAACTAATAGCAACCCAAGAGAGACCTGTATAATTCGTACATGATTTTCCTCCACAGTCCATGTAGGCACACTCGTTTCAACTTAAAGGATTGCGCCATTTCCGCTTGGTCTTCGTCTATTGTTTTTTCTATCAATTTCAATAACCAGCCCACAGTCCCCTTTGTGTAAAACTTATTTCTTGCTTTCACTACTCTTACTGGTAACACGGGCGCAGAGACCGTAAATTGTAGAGACCTATCGCGTATAACTAAAGCGAAGTCGAAAGTCATCAGTCCTTTACGCCTGATGATTATTGATAAGCATGAATTCAAATAAAATGCACGTATTAATGACTGATGAATGTCGGGGTGAGTATTTTTCAAGGAGAGTTCTAGCATATAATATCAGAATTGCAAAATTAATTTCTCGACTGTTTTGTCATCAAACATCATTAGACGAATCTGAGCGTTAACTTCCGGAAGTTAATGTTCCTTTGTAAACGGAGTACCTATGTTTACCGCAGAATTTTCTTTTCTCGGACATTTTAGACTTTATGAACCTCCAATCAACAAAATGGCGCACGATGTTACAGATAGACGATCCAAAATAGCAGATAATGAGATTTCATTTGCCAGAACTTTACTCAGATAACATACTAAGATGCTTAAACACACTTTTGAAACCAATTTTGTGCATTAAATTTGAAGAAAACATTTCGACTTTAACCTATACAGTGACAAAGTCGGTAACAGATACCGCAGTTGATGAACGTCGAAGGTTGTCTACGACACCTTTTGATCCGGTCCCACCTACTTCTACTATGTAGCGCCACCATTTTTTGGGTCCTAATTGTCTCCATGGGATTCAATAACCGTACTTTTTTCATAATAGTATTATGCTGAAAGTATAACTTGTTACCTTAGGAACGCTAATTGTACGAGGTCCCTAAACAAAACGTATCCGTAAAAATGTGAACTGTTCTAACCAAACGTACGGCAAAGTCAAATTGACTATAAGAACAGGTCTAAGAAGTTTGCCAAAATACTAATATGCACAGCTTGACAGAAGTTATTCATCTCTTCTAAGACGATTTTTCCTCTTATTGTCCTATAGGTATGGCCTGCTCTCCATCTCCTACACGGAGCGTGTCGTGGTGGTCCGCAAGTCAGTTCGTATGCGCTTGTACCCGGACTTACGAAACTTCCGCGCTATCTACATCAAGATGCTGCCCCTGTTCAACGATTTCTACACAAAGTACAACCTCGAACGCCTGATCCGCGCCCGCGCTCTCCCGCGTGCTTGCGAGTACAACTTTGCCAACTACCTCCCGTACTCCATTTACGTTGCCGACATCAACGTTCTCACTTCTACTCCGTGGAAGGACTACCAGTACGTCCGCGACCTTCTCAACAAGCTCGACTTCCCCGTTGGATCGCCTGAGTACGAACTCAAGATGAGATTGATGGATCAGTTGATCGATAACTGGATCGAATTCAACAACAACCGTCGCGAGCTTGAGATGATCTACTATCCGAAGTTCGTTGACGCCGGTGACAACCAGAAGGTAAGAAACAGAGTTACTCAGTAGAGAAAAATTAACCTTGAGTTAGGCTCTAACCTCACTTCAAAGTCGGATATAACTTACCAACTGAGCCAAACCTGAAATGACTTAACCAGTGCGTCTACAATCTTATGCAAAAACCTAACTTAGTAACTAGATCACTAGAGAATTAATTGGATTGCATTTCGCAAAAAGGAACCACTAGCATTGCTATGATGCTAAGATTGTGCAACTTCATCCTTTGCAATAAAATTGCAGAAATCGTGAAGAACTGTGAAATTTAGATGGTAATTTTTGTCTTAAATTCACAGTTTTTAGCGAGTGAAATAGAAACTATTAATGGATAATGGGGTTTTTCCTCCAAGACAAAAGAAGTTGCACAATCTTAGCAACATTTCAATGCTAGTGGTTCCCTTTTGCAAAATGCAATCCAATTCAGGATAAGGCTGGATGACTGGAATGATTTTTACCAAATCTATCGGGAATATCAGTTTACCTATCAGTTCAAAGTTCGTTGACACCGCTGGTGACAAAGAGGTTTGAAGTATTGCAACTCAGTGGAGAAAAGTTAACTTTGGGTTAGGCTCTAACCTAATTTTAAGTTCAGATATAACCTGACCCAATCAAACCAAATCAAAAATAAACAAACTACAGGGTGTCAATGATCTCGACAAGCCGAAATAATTCATTCCCTAGATTGCCAAACTTTGACCTGAAAATGCGGTTGATGAATCAATCGATCAATGACTGGGATGATTTCTACATAAGTTGTCAGGAATTAGAATTAAGGGGCGTGGAGGACAATGCGGACAAGTGCAGTTTTACATAATAAAATTGGAATAACAATTATTTAAAGTAAAACTAATCTTAAAATATATTCTATGAATAAATCACCACTAAAATTTGATTTTTAAATATCAAAAAGTTAAGTTGAACTTTCTTTACCAAACGAGTTTCCATGTAATTTTGGAACATTAAACAATGTATTTTTTTAATTTGGAAATACTTGCACTTTTGCACCCTATTCGCCAAGCCTCTCAATTGATTTTATTATCCAAGGGCATTTTCGCCCGTGACAACCAACACGTAGCAGACGGAATTTTGGATGCATATGTCTGAATTCTTATGATTCCCGGGGACTGACTTCCTTACTCAAAACCCAGGTTTCCCTCCTGTTTTTTCCGAAACATCTAAGGAAACAAGAGTCTTTTTCCAAACTTCAAAGGGAAACATATATCTGATTTTACTTTGTCTACTTTTTAAAATTGAGTTAGCAAGTGTGAACCTTAAAAGATTAGGGGCTACCTAAAGTCAAAGCAGAAACGGAAGTAACTACATCAGAACGAAAACAACCTTAATTCACATATTTCAAATTGCAAATAGCTGATTTCTAGAATACGTTGTCTCTGCTTTTGCGTTTAGCTCATCGACGACCTTTACCTGGACTACCTGGCCAAGCTCCGTGGGTACACTTACAAGTACGGTAACGGATTCTTCGAAGTTTACGGCCAAGTAGAGGACCTTTACCTGAAGCGGAAGCTGCCTTTCGTTGCCTACGTGGACTTCGACGGTATCTCTGCGGAGACGGACATCCGCTCGCTGTACCTGCCCTCAACCAAGCTCTCCAAGTACTATACTAAGATTATCGTCACTTCTCGAATGGATTACCTTACCGCCAAGCGCCTCTGGGACAACCTCAAGCTCAACCCTGACTCACCCGAATGGCAGCTCAGGAACTCCGTCCTCCCCGAACTCAAGCAGCGCTTGGATAACCTCGAGGTAAGCTCACCTAACATAAACTTATCTTTAATAAATCCCATACCGCAGAAAGGGCGTTTTTGTTCTGAGGTCAATTTCTTAGGAGAATCATAAAGTGACCACAACCAAGTATTCTGATTGTCCTCCTATCATCCGAACGTATCGAGAAGTCTAACGTTTCCCCTAAATAATTTTCTGTAATTAACATTTGGTTTGAAATAGTAAACATTTGAACGTCAGAAAATAGTAACTTCCCTCTAGTCCACTATTTTTTTATTGGAAGAAGTCCACATTAAGTTTTTTTTTTTTTTTTTTTTTTTTTTTTTTTTTTTTTACCACTTTAAGTAGCCACAAAGGCTAATCCCGCGCTTTTTAGTCCCGGCCCCCCTTCGTCCCTACCGAACAACCAGTCCCAGGCAACCATTGTTTGAGACCATCAAACTCGGGTCGCCTGGCCGGGGATCGAACCCGGGACCTCCCGATCATAGAGTTAGCGCTACAACCACTACACCACAGGAGGCCGACGAGGCCTCCGAGGAAGTGACGAGTGCATGCCATGAAACTAATATAGTGTTCTATTTTTGAAATTATCACGAATGCTACCTATATCTTTGTGTTTCAAGTTTGCCTTTTTTTGAAATTTTGTAAACTATTTTGGCGTAACTCACGTTGGAGTGTAACGCTCAAAAAACAGAAAAAAACGCACTTGAAGGAAACCTCAATTTGCTACTGACGATTGATTCGCATCAGAGACAAATTCCATTTGAAGCAGGTGATATTCTCTCCTTTCTCATTCAGACTGTAAAAGAAGGCTCTCGCTCTCCATCCTATCATCTTAATTATTCATTCCTCTGATTGTGATAGGCGTAATAGGTACTGAGTTCTTTGCCCTGGCTAGTAATTGTATGTCGATACATTTCTTACCATTTATCTGTACTCTTTTAACAACCCACACGAAACATTAGTCTAGGTGGGAATTATAGCATCATTGTATTTTGCCTCGACAGAATTTCAGGGACAACACGAGTTGGACGATAAATAGTATTCAGAGAGACTTGTGACCCAGATATTAACGTCTTTCGATGCATAAATTCAAACTTCCCGCTTATGGAAAAAACAACAATGGACTCGAGTTAAATCGTACATCGAACGTTATTGTACCAGTCTCTGCAGGGTGAAAATATGCAAACTTAATCGTGGTGCCGCAGATTAGTTATTGCGTGTAGAAAAAAATGTAGAGAGGACCTAGTTATTGCGTGTAGAAAAAAATGTAGAGAGGACAGGGTGGGGAAGTAATACTGCTTTTTGATAAGTTAGCCAAAACCGTTGTAATACGCGATTCGATTCAAATAGACTTTTGTTTTTCATGTGAGCGGGAATTCCTTTTTCGCAACTAGTGCCAAATAAAAAATGTATTAGGTATCTTGGCTTGGAATTAACATCAGCTAATTTCATTTCTTGCATTGTTTGTTCCATGAAATTTTGAAGGAGAAACATTGAGGATCAACTCCCGCAACTCCCTTCTCAAATTCATCCTTCTTAGGGTTTTAAAACGAAACTTGGGGAATGTATGTCTAAAAGATCTACTTTTTGGTGCATCCAAATTAGTAGCTCGGCATTTCTCTACCGTAGCACCCTCATTTCGTTTCAGTGGCTTTAAATTAGGCAAATTTTAAGAAGGGGGAAATAGATCGATGGGTTTCCCTGTATATCGGAATATTAAATTCTTACCCCGTTAAGTAGTCTTCATTTATTATTTTTGACCGATTCCTGATTACAGATCCTGCTAAATCGGAACATCCGCGATTCCTTCCGGCGTATGTACGAGCTCTACGGAAAAAATCCCGGCTGCGACTTCGACAAGGAGTACGACGCTATCGTCATCGAGATCACGACGACCACTGACAAAAACATATTACCGATCCTGTACGAGTTCCGCGAGTACTACTACATCAACGACGATAAGCTCTCCGAACTCTTTGACAAGCGCGGCTGGAAGGACGTCACACGCAACATCATCGCCTGCGACTCGTGGGGATACGACGCTACCGTCCTTATGGCTGACGAAGACCTCAGGGGTCTGTTCAAGTGGTCCGAGAAGCTGCTTAAGAAGAACTACTACGTCCCGCTCAACGATCTGATCCAGCTGTCTTTCCCTGAGAACTCCGAGGAGTGGAAGCTCCGTCGTGATGCCCTCAAGCGCCTCGAGAAGGTAAGCCATATCTCCTCCCTCTTTACTTCATCGGTCTCACCGGATCAAAACTTATTGACGCCTTGTCCAATTAATATGTATTTTTCTGTCTTCTCTTAATTCTCTTCTTCTTCTTTCCAATCTCCTATCTTCTGTGTCTCATCTTAATTTTATCCTCTCTCAGCTTCTCCTCCTTTTTCGCTTTCCTTTTTCGCCCTCTTCTTCCTCACATAATTTTTTTCTTCCTGTTCCTTTTCTTCTCCCATTTCTCTTCTTCCGAGTCCTCACTTCCTTTCTCAGCTTCCTTTCTTCCTTCTTTCTTTCTTCTCTATCTTCTCTTTTTCTCTTTATTTCTTGTCTGCTTCCGCTTCTTCTTCTGCTTCCTCTATTCCTGCTTTTGCTCCCTCTACTTTTTCAAAATTTTCATCTTTTCATTCCTTTTTTTCTCCTCATATCTCTCGCCTTTTCCTTTTCATTCTCTTCTTCCCTTTATCCTATGTTTCTTCTTCTTTTATCTCTTCTTCTATTCGTATCCGGTCCAATATTGTTGCATATTCTGCTCTCTTTTGCATTAACCTCCTTCTGTTTTCTCATTTTTTTTATCCGAATAACCCATTTTCCTCTCCATCTGCATCTACTTCTTCTCCTTTTTACTCTCTTTTTTCTTTCTTTTTTCTTCCCTAGCCTCCTTTCTTCTATACTCTCATCTTCTTTATTTTCCTTTCTTCCATTTTTTTTATATTCTTTGCTTCTTTGTCCCTACTTCTTTTTTTCTTCAATATTTCTTTACCTTTTATTACTGCCTTTTCCTTTTTCTGCATCTCTCCTCCTCCGCCTTCCTGACTTTTTCAACCTCTCTCCTTTTTTGCATCCCATTTTATTTTTCATCTCCTGGCCATTTGCCTCTACATTAATTTCCTTCATTATCTCTCGGTTTCCTTCACTAATATCTGCCAAGATGATCTGATCTAATCATATTTTCGTGAGAATTCTAAGAAATTGAAGCTTTGTCAGGGTAAGTAGTTTTCCGTCCCTGCCACTATTTCTTCTTAATTTTCTCACAACTCATATCCACATTCGAACTTTTATCTCATTTTTTTCTTTCCCTGTATTCTATTCCCTTTTATATTCATTCTCCTTGTCGTTTTTACAACCGAAACGAATCATAGACATAATTTCGACGAATTTTCCAGGTCTGGTTGGAGTACCGTCAGATCAACAACTACGCCATCAGGAACTACATCCGGCTGGTCAGGAAGAATAAGTTCGTCATGGGATCACCCGAATGGGACCGCGAGATCAAAAAGATCCGAGAGTACTGTCGCCCCAAGATGGTTGTCATCATCGAAAAGTTCAAAAAGGACTGCTTCGAGATCAACGGCTACTTGGACACCCTCTACGCAAAGCAGGTCGGCACCACTTACTCCCGCAGCTACGTCTACCAAGAGACGACCTTCGAGATGACTACCATCACAACTACCAGGTCCACCACCGTCACGTCCTCCGGCACATGCTGCCCCTGTTGATTTGCTTAGAATATAGTGAGGATATTAAAAAGGATTTGTAGTTATTTCAACTCTGTCTTGCCTTCATTGAATTTTCATTTGCCCCCAAGGACAAAATAGGAAAATAATAATGAGATGACGGAGGGAATAGCAAGACGAAAAAAGGGACGGAGAGAGTAAGTAGAAGAGGAAGGAAGTGTCAAGTGAATGGAAAGAGAAAAGAGAGGAAGGAGAAGTGAAGGGGGACGACGATATTTCCTTTTAATCGATTCATTGTGTGCGCATGGTCACTTCTTCCAGTCGATTGAATACACTATGGCTTATGGTTCCCTCATTTGATCCAATCAAACTTATTGCAATTCAATGCATGGTTTGAGTGGTCCGTTTTTGCAGAAATTCTTTTGGGCTAGTGAGCTTTTCTAATGAGGAGTTTTCTATTTGCAGACCTCAATTTGAGCTCATCTGACCTAACCTTGGATTAATAATTAATAAGTAAGATAGGTTTATCAAGTTTTGAAAATGTTTGCGTCGATTCATCGCACCATTCGATTGTGTCATAACTTCAATTGATCGACATTTTCTATTAATCTGCGTCAATTTAGGACTTACTTAAATTATGTCCAGAACGGACATATCTCATCAATTTTAAATGCCTGCAAGTATACCTCCTCCTCATAAATTCACGAAGAAAGAGTAACTTCTTAGAAGTTATTCATGTTGATTTTATAAAAATTGTATTAAATTGTGTAGTCATCAGAGGTGAAAAGTTTTCTTACATTTTTAGGTTATTTGATTATCTACACTCTCGCAGTAGTTATTTGTAATACCAAAATCCTTAATTTAAATCTTTAACAACAAAGCTGTCCAAAATATCAAAAGAAAGAGGTATTTACATAACGGTTTGCATTCTCATAGCAAAACAAGCACAGCGGTGAATGGAGGAAGTGCCAGCGCTCATTATCTTTGCCTCTCATTTCTCAATTACATATTTCCTTTCCTCGTGCATGGAATGCTATTCTTCAGATCTTGAAGAAACAAAATCGTCCTCAGTAGACCCTAACAGTTGAAATTAAAATACTAACAATTGCTGGATTACGAGCCTCGGAGTACTTGACACAGAAAAAAAAATATGTAAGGTCAACAGCACAGATGTTGATTTTACAGACTTAGCATGTTAAACAAATGCGCGTCTACGCATGCTGCTGAGTTGACAGCCGGGCAGGATGTTGGGTGTACATCCTCTTATCTGTTGAAAGATCAAGCTACTATGTTAAATTTACATCCTCTTGTCTGTTGAAAGAGCAAGTCTCAGTGTTCAGATAAGATCTCCTATCAAGAGTGGCGGTAGCCACCTCCGGTCGAGGAAAATGACGTCCTACTAAAGTCTCGATAGTAAAGTGGTGGCCGATACTCTTATTGTTAGTCACACATAACTCCCTTAATCTGCAAATTGATTCGATTTGATTGCCTTTGCAGCCCAAACGACGGCACGGATTCCAACGATCTTGGTGTCTACGGAAGCAGCTAAATTAGGATTAGGAAGTGGAAGAATTTCATCAGGCCCATTGAGTTTTCAAAAAGTTATAAGCACTTAGGCCCAAAACGACGAAAATTTTACTTTAGAAGGGTCCGTTTCGCGGGATAATTTGAATTTGGGGCCCTAAAAAAGTTACTTCAATTTCGCGATAACGGTAAACCCTAGACCCAAAAAGTGGGTACCTAAAGAATCACCATGTTACCGTGTGCCGCTTTAGACTTTATCTTCACATTAGAAATTTTTTAGAAGAGAAATTACGTAAAATGCAATTAAACTGACTGCCATCTTTTCCGTCATGACAACCTTTCACAACAGATTCCTCGCTTACACGGTGACCGAGTCCAAATGGAACCTAAAAAAGATCAAAGTTGAGGATATGAGGATTTCATTCCTACCACATTTAATAAGGCTTCATTGCACGGATAATTCAGCATCGGCTAATATCTTTCAAAATTTTACCTTTAATTTTTAGAATTTTGAATAAAACGAATGTTAGTTCAATGCCATTCGTTGATTCTGTTTAGGTCAGTTCGAGTTTCAGGAAAGAAATTCCCCTGGTCGTTACCAACCTCAAGCCACTATAATTAGTTGTGAATAGATTTAATTTAAAGGTTCAATTTATTTTAGATTCTAACTATACTGTTTACAGACCTATATTATTTCGTTGCACTTGTTCTATTAGAGCCCGATTCACTATTTTATTAGTTTTTCTTAAAATGCACAATTGTTGTCTGTCTATTGAGCGATGAGTGACAAATTTATTGGTGAGGTTATGTCTAGCTGGTTGTATCTGACCTACGCGATAAATTTAATATACGATGAAGAAATTAAGAAATTGTGCCAAAGAATCAAAAGGAAGCAGCATTTACTCCCCTGTTTGCGTTCTCATAACAAACAGCGCACCTACAAATTTCAATACCATTTTGTGCATTTGTCGACAAGCGGAAAGTGCAACGGTGGATCGAAGACAGTGCTATGGGCTTAAGTTGAATCTACAGCGGTGCGCAGTAAGAAAGTTTTCCGCGCAGAGAGCGCCACCGCTGTGTTTTGATTTTTTGGTCCACGCTATTAGAGTCCGTACAGCCCCACGTGATTCCTTGAGCTTTCATGAAAGTTTTAGTTAGAAAGTTAAGCGTGATGACCTTGATGCAACAAATCACGATCAATCGCCCTCAGCAGGTGTAGATATCTCTCTCCCACCGTGAGCTATCTCTCTTACACCAATAGATATGTCAGAAGATTTCCCTGGAAAACTTTATCACTTTTATATCATACCGTTGAAATTTTATGTTTTTTTTTGGCTCCCGAATCTCATGTTATTTTCAGAATGAAATCATACTGATAAAGAAATCCTCTCCGTAAAATGGATCATACTGTTATCCCGTTCGTCTCGTTGCTTAACATATCGTCAGCTAATTGTTCGCATACTTTAGTATACTATTCTAGAAGGTAGTAGCCACCCCGGCCCGATCCTTAAAAATTCCCCCTAAAAGTTGACGACCAAAAAAAAAAAAAAGTTAAAGACGGGTGGCTGCTGCCTAACTAAGTAAACACGGAGAAACTTAATCGGGCTCGCCCGCACGGTTTGCGGTCCATTTAGCTCTCCTGCTTCTTCAGTCTAACAGTAAATCCCAAAAACCCCATAATATTTGGGAAGGAGATGCTCAGCTATACTCATAATGCCCACCTTTTTTGAGTCTAGTTATAAATAATAAAAAAGTTACTAAGCTTTAACGACAAATTTTGGACCCCAGAAAACGATTATGATGAAATTGTGGAGCAGAATTGTTGTTGTTGTCGGGGCCCGTGAAAAGATCGAGTAGGGTAAAAATGGCGATCATAGAAAAGTGAAAAAACGCTAAATATATTTGGAACGTTAGTTACCCCTTCATTTTCCGGGTTATGCATGGGGGTATTGTATGTGGCCTTTTCAATCTGCGGGTTATGCAATGGTGTATATTGTCCCTTCATTTTTCGAGTTATGCAATGATGTGTGTAGCCCCTTCAATCCGCAGGTTATGCAATTGTGCACGGAGAAAAATAAATGATGCGGACGACTAAGATTTCGCTCAGTTCAACAATGTAACATTGTCAGCCACAGGCACAACATTACCAACGGCGCCCTCCACAATGAGCAAATGTAAATGAGCATAATAACAAATCATCTTTGTAGCATCTTTGCATCTTCATTAGCTTTCTTTTCATTAAGCATCTTTGTATGATGTAATGAGCATTGTAATTTGCTTGGCATATGTGAGACGTCATGAGGTTCACATTGTAGCATTGTAGAAAGCCTGGTCCACATAATTTAGTGCAAACGTGCTTAACGCGTGCTACGCCGCTCATAATGTAGCGTTGTTGAATCCATGTTAGGTTGTTAGTATTTATCAACGATTCTTTTTGTTGTGACGCGTCCTTCTGGTTCCCAAGACGTTGCTCAGAAAGGTCCTTTCAAACGTGCGTCCTTGCTACGAGCAAAATGTATTATTTTCATATAACATTACCACATTTCACCCGCTGCATTTTGCTCAAAAATGTAAGGCTTACAGGACTTTTTTAGTTCCCATACTCATGATTCAACACGGCAATTTTCTTTGTTAAATTGGCTTTCACTGTGATACTGTAAAATTGTGTGTTTATAATCGCAGGTTGGAAAAGAAAGTATTTCTACCTCGGATGGATCGAAATCTTCCTTTTCCAGCAACAGATTATAAATACTCATGTTTACAGTAAACGACAGCCAACTGAACAGAATAATAGACGGTAGTACAAAAAAACAAATTCATAAAATGGTTGGAGAAGTAATTAATCAAAAATTAAAATATGAAGTAAAATTTATATAGGAAAGACAAAAGAGAGAAACACATTCCTTCGTGACAGTATAAGGACTCTTTTGAAAGAGATGGTTTGAAAATGATGAAAAACCAAAGGTTACATTGCACATTTTTCAAAATGAAAGAGTTTTTTAATTTCAATTCTACCGGTTACCTACCTACGAATAACAATATAACTCATTAGAAATTTATACTTTCAGACTGAATTTTTTTCAAAAGACCTTAGCGCGTGTTGGAAATGATTCCTCAACTAAGCTTTATTATTCATCTTTTCCTTTTTCTTTGAACCTGATTACAAAACTGATAAAATATAAATTGAAATGACTCTTAATTCAAAAGATCGAGCAAAAGATAATATATATCAGAAAGTTACTTTGCATTTTTAGTTTTGATAAGCGTCAATTGGGATGCATTAGTCTATTCTTTTCTTAGGACTGCCAAGCACTGGCATGGACTGCCAACCATTGGTATGAACTGCCAAGCTTGGCAAGCATTGGCATGGACTGCAAAGCATTGGCATGGAGTGCAAAGCATTAGCATGGACTGCAAAGCAATGACAAGCAATGACATGGACTGCCAAGCATTGGCAAGCATTGGCATGGACTGCCAAGCATTGGCGTAGACTGCCAAGTATTGGCAAGCATTGGCATGGACTGCAAGGCATAGCACAGAATAACAAGCATTGGCATGGACTGCCAAG